GTATTGTTGAGGCAATGCCTAACCAGTGAAGGTGTATCGGGATCTAGTCCATGTTGGACCAAATTTTCAATTATTTCAATGGTATCAGGTACTGGGACCTTGGTGAACAAAGAGACCACATCGAAGCTGACAAGGATATCGTCAGGGGACAGTACAACGTCTTTGACCATAGAGACCAATTGGGCTGAGTTAAGTACTGCTGAGGCGGTCTTGCCAGTGAAAGACAGCAAGGTATCTGACAGAAAACGGGCTAGTCTATAGGTAGGGGAGTTGATCGTGGATACGATGGGTCGTAGTGGGGTGCCTTCTTTATGCATCTTAGGAAGACCATAGAATCTAGGGGATCTTGCAGCAGAAGGTTTTAGGGAGGGACGTTTAGTTGGGTCGATTAGGGAGGTCGAACTTGTGATGATCTTGTTGGTTTTTATCGCTAGGCTATTAGTAGGGTCATTTTTGATTTTTGAGTAACTTCCATCGTTGAGCAGATTCTGGATTTTGTTGTTATATGAATCTTTATCCATAATTACAGTAGCGTTGCCTTTATCGGCTGAGAGGATGACTATATCACTTCTGTTTTTTTTTAATTCGCAAGTTCAGAGCGTTCATTTTTGCTGATGTTACTAATGGGTTTCTTAGCATTCTTAAGAATAGTGACTATTTCAGCTCTCGCAACGTCTACTTGGATGTGTCCTTTGCCTTTGAGGGCTACATCGACCTGAGAGATGATATCATCTACTGGTATGTGTTTTGAGGTGACAGCAAAATTCAGCCCCCTAGCCAGTACTGTTTCCAGATTGTCCGAAATCGGGGTGCTACTCTGATTAACGACGATTTTGTTGACGTCTAGTTTTGTTATATGTGGAACTGGGTTCTTCTTTGATAGGTAGTTGAATTTAGAAATCAGGTTAGCTTTACATTTGACTGACAGTGAATCAGCCGAAGAAGCAGTCATGTTGTCTACGTGATTCCAATCAGAAGGTGACATTTTTTGTGTTAATATTAAATGAGCTTGTAGGAGAGTCCTGTCTAAAGTATCGAGTTCAAATCGGAGTAGCCTTATCCTCTCTGAGATTAAAGATACGCTGACCTTAAACAGAATCTGTTTAGAATTCGGAGAAGATACAGCAGCAGAAGTGAGTGTGAAAGCGATGGGTATTACCTTGTGATCGCGGCATCTTTTGAGGAAGGTCAGCGTCTCGATGAGCTGTGACTTCTTCTCCCGTTGTCTGTTAAGCAACCATTGGAAAGATGTTCTGAATCAAACCAAACATTAAACTAATTTTCAATGGTACAGTATATGTTTAAGTAGTGGTATCCCAAACTTTCGCAGCTGCTTAAATTCCCTTTTCACACCATCAATATGTGGGCTCCCCCCTCGCCAGTCTGCACATGCTTCCCCCCCAGTACATCGTCCTTCATTCTAAGTCCGCCAATGAAATGCTAATTTTTATGCTAATTCCTTTGTCAGGGCGCTCTGCTTCCTCTCACACAGCTTAGAGGTCGCGGTCTGAGCTTGACTGTGTTCACTCCAGCGCTGTCCTCTGGACAGTCTGGTCCCTTCACTCACTCCACTCACTCCACTCACTCACTCACTCACCCACTCCACTCACTCACTCACTCCACTCACTCACTCCACTCACTCACTCACTCCACTCACTCACTCCACTCACTCACTCACTCCACTCACTCCACTCACTCTACTCACTCACTCACTCCACTCACTCACTCACTCCACTCACTCCACTCACTCACTCACTCCACTCACTCATTCACTTCACTCACTCACTCCACTCACTCTACTCACTCACTCCACTCACTCACTCACTCCACTCACTCACTCCACTCCCCCCCCCCCCCCGCTGCTGGTCCGTCATGGTCCCCACCCGCTCCTGGTCCATCATGGCCCATGCACCTCCTACGTATATCGTGCTCATTTTTATACTAATTCCTTTGTCAAGCGTTTTGCTTCCTCCCACACAGCTTAGAGGACGCGACCTGAGCTTGGCTGTTTTCACTCCAACGCTGTCCTCATGACAGCACGGTCCCTTCACCTGATGAAGGCCACTTGTGTTGTGGCCGAAACGTCGTGAATTTTTTTAACGTGACTTTACCGAATAGAACCAAAGAGTATGTTTTATATATATTTTATTATTTTATTGTTTCCCTTCAACGTGACTTTACCGAAAGAACCAAGAATATGAACACATAAATCAATGTTAAGTAATAATTTCCTGTAATGAATGTCGGCTCTGGGCAGATTATATTTTAGAAGTCAGAAGTGTGGATTTCCTGAGTAAAGCCCAATACGCTAAAAATAATTTATTTTTCAAGGGCGACTTGGCCCGGAAAACTGACCATAGTACTATTACAATTACAGAAGCATATAAACAGATATAGGATGACTGTTGTACTCATGTTAGCAGTAAAAAAATATTAAATTAAAGTGAAGTCATAAATAATTCACAGCTTTAGTATCAAATTACGATTGAGATGGGAGAGTAACCAAGTACGTGTGTGGAGCGATGTCATTCTAGGTATTTGGGATATTTACAGAGAACGAGATGGGAACCACGAGAGGGTTTTGTAATCAAAATAAGGTACTTTAGCGTTGTGCGGCATCTAAGATATGGAGGGTTTTGATCCTGAATGTAAACAGTGGATAGGGTTAGGGACCGAGTTACCTGCGTATGTTTTAAATATTAATTATGGCTCAACGAATATCTTTCTGAGTTGAAAGAGGTGATAACCAATCTTGGAGAAAGATCACAGCGATGAGTGGAACAGTGTGTAAGATAAAGTGTAAGGCAGAATGAAAGATTAGATTGATCAATGTCCGATTGGTTTTCGAGGTTCATTCGTATATGATATCAGCACAGTCTAGTAGATGCAGAGGTAGCAGCTATCAATTGTTTAAGTGTCAAGGATGAGAAGCAAGATTTGTTTCCATAAAAAATTCCTGTCACCGTTCTTAATTTTTACTATAAAAATATTTCCACATAAAGAGAGAACTTGAGGTGAGAATAGAGCCATAATCCAAGATATTGTGTAAGGAAACATTAAATTGTTGTGCTGCAGAGAGCGGTTATGGACATGTAATGAGAGCGCCATCTCCTGTATTATGTGGGGCGTTGCTTGCTATGGGGTAAGGGTTTACATTTAGAGCAAAGGTGAAAAGGGCGGAGCCACCCGGGAAGCCTCTGGAACGTTCCCGAAGGTTATATGAGGGGCGTGGCCAGAGGCGGGGCTTAGCCGCCGGGGAGCGTATATAAGCGGGGGCCGGGGCAAGATGCGAGGTCGGTGCGTGAAGAGTCAAGAGGAGCTCTCTGTCGCTGCTGCCCCGCCATCCCCATCGGCCACGTGGCGGCTCGACCTCCAGCCGCTCAACCTCTCCCTAGCGCGCCGTCAGCCAGCGGCGTGTTAGAGAGCGGGGTGAGCGCCACGTGGCGCGGGGCAGCGAAACCGCCTGGGCGGCAATCATTACGTAGTGAGAGAGAGACTAGAGACAACCAAGGTGTACCGAAGATTTATTAATAAACGACTTAAGTTCTTATCGTGTCGGAGCCACTTATTGCAGACATATTGCAGTGGCTCTGATATGTAGCAGTGCTGCAAGTCGAACATTGTGCCTTGTTTGCATTCTGGAGGAGTTTCAAGCCTATAGCGTTGTTTTGAATGGTTGTGAAGTCATCTTGTAGGTTTAGTTGCTACATTAACAGATGAGTTGATGCTCTGGAGACTTGAGAGATCATTGACTGATGTTTAGTCACCAGGTCGATGATGGCATGACTCGTGATTTTTCACTTAAGAGAGTGGACCCCGTCTTTCACTCCTGTTATCGAACGCATGTCCTATAAATCTGGCTACTTGAGTTCGATTCCTGTACGTAGAGATGACGAACATTAGTGGAGAGTGATCAATCTAAACCATGAATAGTACTGCAAAGATGTAACACGCAAACTGCTTGCAACTCATTGCCACGTCATCAACGTCAGCCCACCAATATCGAAATCTGGTAAGGATTTGTCCTCGTCATCATTCGCAGCAGCCAGCTTTATCCACTGCTGGATGTCTATCCACAGCAATTTTTATTAACAAATAATACATATTCTTGGTTCTTTCGGTAAAGTCACGTAGAAGGGAAACAATAAAATAAAACAATGAAATTCTCACGACGTTTCGACTGCAACACAATCAATCATCATCAGGTGTGAAAACCACGAGAAAATTTGAAAAAAAGTGGCGTTTTTTAACGTTAGCACCACGGAGAGCGATTTGACAGTTTGTTCAGATGGACGAGTCCATCTATGTTCGGAAAAAAGGAGGGGGGAGACGAAAAATAATGGATGCAGTCTGAAAGCCATTATTTTTCGTCTCCCCCCACTTTTCCGAACATAGATGGACTCGTCCATCTGAACAAACTGTCAAATTGCTTTCCGTGGTGCTAACGTTAAAAATAACCGCCACTTTTTTCAACTTTTTTTGTTGTGGTTTTCACACCTGATGATTGCTTGTGTTGCAGTCGAAACGTCGTGAGAATTTTATTGTTTATATTTTTATTATTTTATTGTTTCCCTTCTACGTGACTTTACCGAAAGAACCAAGAATATGAATCCCTGCAGTCACGAAAGCTTTAAATAAAAAAAAATCAAATAATACATGTTACATACATCGTTGGAACAATGTTACGAAAAAAATAGTTATTCGAAATAGCTAAATAATTGGCAATTGCTAATACCGTATATTTTAACACATTCATTGCAATGATGATTACAGCTTCAGCTGCATTTTGAAAGGAAAGGTTACATTTGGTCAATATTTACCTTGTACCTTGATGCACGAAGACAGCTGTGAGCATGTTACCAAACACCCAGGCGATATTGTTCTTGAATCGAGAAGTGAATTGTGTCATTGTTTCGCTTTGTGAGAAAAAAACAATGGCACATTGAATTCAAGACATACTCTATGTCCAAACACAAACACCATTTAAAGCGTTATTTGGTTGAGGTTAAGAGTAAACAAGATGCAACACCCATTAGACATACCGTCAGCAGACTGCAGGATTGACGGACTACCAAGTAAGTGTACTACAATGTTGTACTATAACACAACAAACGCGGGTAAATGTTGTTCGCCTTTTAACTGGCAACACACAGGCGTTTGAGATGTTAAAACACCAAACTGAAACCTTTTACAAAGAATCATGTCTGCATTAACCACAATACTTGTGGTCAGAATGTAAACAAAAAACATACTCTGAAAATATATGTGTAGTGGTCGACTTCACACGGACAACGTCTTCTTTTCTCCGATGCCACTTTTATTACAAACTCTTCACATTCAACACCCGTGACGACTTCAGCGACTTTCTCTGCTCGCCGCCGCTTCGCTCGCTGCTCCGCTTGCCTCGCTCGCTCCGCTCCCAGTCCCCGTTTCTCGCTGTCTCTCGCTGTCTCTGCCCGTCTCTCGCTGTCTCTCTCCCTGTCTCTCTCCATGTCTCTCCCCGTCTCTTGCTGTCTCTCCCCGTCGCTCGCTGTCTCTCTCCCTGTCTCTCTCCATGTCTCTCCCCGTCTCTCGCTGTCTCTCCCCGTCTCTCGTTGTCTCTCCCCGTCTCTGCCCGTCGCTCGCTGTCTCTCTCCCTGTCTCTCTCCATGTCTCTCCCCGTCTCTTGCCGTCTCTCCCCGTCGCTCGCCGTCTCTCTCCCTGTCTCTCTCCATGTCTCTCCCCGTCTCTCGCTGTCTCTCCCCGTCTCTCGTCTCTCCCCGTCTCTGCCCGTCGCTCGCTGTCTCTCTCCCTGTCTCTCTCCATGTCTCTCCCCGTCTCTCCCCGTCTCTCCGTGTCTCTCCCCGTCTCTCGCCGTCTCTCGCCGTCTCTCCCCGTCTCTCTCCCTGTCTCTCGCCGTCTCTCCCCGTCTCTCTCCCTGTCTCTCGCCGTCTCTCGCCGTCTCTCGTTGTCTCTCGCTGTCTCTCCCCGTCTCTCCGTGCCTCTCCCCGTCTCTCGCCGTCTCTCGTTGTCTCTCCCCCTCTCTCTCCGTGTCTCTCTCCCCGTCTCTCGCTGTCTCTCGCCGTCTCTCCCCGTCTCTCTCCCTGTCTCTCGCCGTCTCTCGCCGTCTCTCGTTGTCTCTCGCTGTCTCTCCCCGTCTCTCTCCCTGTCTCTCCCCGTCTCTCGCCGTCTCTCGTTGTCTCTCCCCCTCTCTCTCCGTGTCTCTCTCCCCGTCTCTCGCTGTCTCTCGCCGTCTCTCGCCGTCTCTCGTTGTCTCTCGCTGTCTCTCCCCGTCTCTCCCCGTCTCTCGCCGTCTCTCGTTGTCTCTCGTTGTCTCTCCCCGTCTCTCGCTGTCTCCCGCCGTCTCGCCCTGTCTCTCGCTGTCTCTCGCTGTCTCGCCCCGTCTCTCGCCGTCTCTCGCGGTCTCTCGCTGTCTCTCCCCGTCTCTCGCTGTCTCTCCCCGTCTCTCGCTGTCTCCCGCCGTCTCTCCCTGTCTCTCGCTGTCTCTCCCCGTCTCTCGCAGTCTCTCGCAGTCTCTCCCCGTCTCTCGCTGTCTCTCGCCGTCTCTCGCAGTCTCTCCCCGTCTCTCGCTGTCTCTCCCCGTCTCTCGCTGTCTCTCCCCGTCTCTCGCTGTCTCCCGACGTCTCTCGCCGTCTCTCCCCGTCTCTCTCCCTGTCTCTCCCCGTCTCTCGCCGTCTCTCGTTGTCTCTCCCCCTCTCTCTCCGTGTCTCTCTCCCCGTCTCTCGCTGTCTCTCGCCGTCTCTCGCCGTCTCTCGTTGTCTCTCGCTGTCTCTCCCCGTCTCTCCCCGTCTCTCGCCGTCTCTCGTTGTCTCTCGTTGTCTCTCCCCGTCTCTCGCTGTCTCCCGCCGTCTCGCCCTGTCTCTCGCTGTCTCTCGCTGTCTCGCCCCGTCTCTCGCCGTCTCTCGCGGTCTCTCGCTGTCTCTCCCCGTCTCTCGCTGTCTCTCCCCGTCTCTCGCTGTTTCCCGCCGTCTCTCCCTGTCTCTCGCTGTCTCTCCCCGTCTCTCGCAGTCTCTCGCAGTCTCTCCCCGTCTCTCGCTGTCTCTCGCCGTCTCTCGCCGTCTCTCGCAGTCTCTCCCCGTCTCTCGCTGTCTCTCCCCGTCTCTCGCTGCCTCTCCCCGTCTCTCGCTGTCTCCCGCCGTCTCTCCCTGTCTCTCGCTGTCTCTCCCCGTCTCTCCCCGTCTCTCGCCGTCTCTCCTCGTCTCTCCCCGTCTCTCGCCGTCTCTCCCCGTCTCTCCCCGTCTCTCGCTGTCTCTCCCCGTCTCTCGCTGTCTCTCCCCGTCTCTCGCTGTCTCCCGCTGTCTCTCCCCATCTCTCGCTGTCTCTGACCTGTCTCTCCCTGTCTCTCCCTGTCTCTCGCTGACTTTGACCGTCTCTCGCTGTCTTTGACCGTCGTCCCTGTCTCTGCCCGTCTCTCCCTGTCTCTCGCCGTCTCTCCCCGTCTCTCGCCGTCTCTCCCCGTCTCTTGCCGTCTCCCGCCGTCTCTCGCTGTCTCTCCCCATCTCTCGCTGTCTCTCCCTGTCTCTCGCTGTCTCTCCCTGTCTCTCGCTGTCTCTCCTTGTTTCTCCTTGTCTCTGCCCGTCTCTCGCTGTCTCTGCCCATCTCTCCCTGTCTCTCCCTGTCTCTCGCTGTCTCTCCCTGTCTCTGCCCGTCTCTCGCTGTCTCTGCCCGTCTCTCCCTGTCTCTCGCTGTCTCTCCCTGTCTCTCCCCGCCTCTCCCTGTCTCTCCCTGTCTCTCGCCGTCTCTCGCTGTCTCTCGCGGTCTCTCCCTGTCTCTCCCCGTCTCTCTCCCTGTCTCTCGCCGTCTCTCTCCCTGTCTCTCCCCGTCTCTCGCTGTCTCTCCCCGTCTCTCCCCGTCTCTCGCTGTCTCTCACTGTCTCTGTCTCTCCTTGTCTCTGTCTCTCTCTGTCTCTCCTTGTCTCTGTCTCTCTCTGTCTCTCCTTGTCCCTCCTTGTCTCTCTCTGTCTCTCTCTGTCTCTCCTTGTCTCTGTCTCTCTCTGTCTCTCCTTGTCTCTCTCTGTCTCTCCTTGTCTCTGTCTCTCCTTGTCTCTCTCTCCTTGTCTCTGTCTCTCTCTGTCTCTCTCTGTCCCTCCTTGTCTCTCTGTCTCTCTCTGTCTCTCCTTGTCTCTGTCTCTCTCTGTCTCTCCTTGTCTCCGTCTCTCTCTGTCTCTCTCTCTTTCTCTCCTTGTCTCTGTCTCTCTCTGTCTCTCCTTGTCTCTCGCTGTCTCTTTCTGTCTCTCCTTGTCTCTGTCTCTCTCTGTCTCTTTCTCTGTCCCTCCTTGTCTCTCTCTGTCTCTCCTTGTCTCTCTCTGTCTCTCTCTGTCTCTCCTTGTCTCTCTCTGTCTCTCTCTGTCTCTCCTTGTCTCTGTCTCTCTCTGTCTCTCTCTCTGTCTCTCCTTGTCTCTGTCTCTCTCTGTCTCTCCTTGTCTCTGTCTCTCTCTGTCTCTCTCTCTATGTCTCTCCTTGTCTCTGTCTCTCTCTGTCTCTCCTTGTCTCTCGCTGTCTCTTTCTGTCTCTCCTTGTCTCTGTCTCTCTCTGTCTCTCTCTCTCTCTCTCTGTCTCTCTCTCTCTGTCCCTCCTTGTCTCTCTCTGTCTCTCCTTGTCTCTCTCTGTCTCTCTCTGTCTCTCCTTGTCTCTCTCTGTCTCTCTCTCTGTCTCTCCTTGTCTCTGTCTCTCTCTGTCTCTCTCTCTGTCTCTCTCTCTCTCTGTCCCTCCTTGTCTCTCTCTGTCTCTCTCTGTCCCTCCTTGTCTCTCTCTGTCTCTCTCTGTCTCTCCTTGTCTCTCACTGTCTCTCCTTGTCTCTGTCTCTCCTTGTCTCTGTCTCTCCTTGTCTCTCCTTGTCTCTCTCTCTGTCTCTCTCTGTGTCTCTCTCTGTCTCTCTCTGTCCCTCCTTGTCTCTCTCTGTCTCTCTCTGTCTCTCCTTGTCTCTGTCTCTCCTTGTCTCTCCTTGTCTCTGTCTCTATATGTCTCTCTCTGTCTCTCCTTGTCTCTGTCTCTCCTTGTCTCTCCTTGTCTCTGTCTCTATATGTCTCTCCTTGTCTCTCTTTGTCTCTCCTTGTTTCTATCTCCATTTCTCCTTGTCTCTCCTTATTCCCTGTTCCACTGCTAGCCTCTTCTGTCTCTCATGTTTTCTCTCTCTCTCTCTCCCGATTCTCTGTGTTCTTCTGACCCGCTCCGTTCCAGCCCCCAGCAACAACTCCCCTCTCCGCTCTCACGTCCCCGAATATATCCCCGTCCTCGTTAACCATCAATTAATTAAGCGGCGTCCCCAACGACGCCTCGTGTCGCTGGCCCCTGCCGTTATCAGTCCCACATCTCCCCGACACTGTGGCGCCACTTTTCCCTTCACAACAACTGACCAATCACCGCCACGCATCCTACAACAACTTAACGAGCTATCTTCCTCGTGCCGCTATCCCCACTTCGCACCTGTCCGGCAACTACACGACCCCACTGTCCATAACTCGCGCGTCTTTACAATCCTCCCTGTATGCACGCGTTAATCCGCTGCATATGCGTTACTCTTTGGTTCTTTCGGTAAAGTCACGTAGGAAAAAAAAATCTAATAATAATAGAATACGACGTTTCGGTTGCAACACAAGCAACCATCATCGGGTAAGAATGAATGATAAAACACAGACACGGACACAACATAGGCAGACACATGCAGAGAGAGAGACACAACGACATACCGAACGAGACACACTAAGAAAACAGACACAGCAACAACATAAGCAGACACACATGTAGAGAGAGACGCACACAAAGACACCGAACGAGACATTGTCTTGGCGTGTGTCTCGCTCGGCGTGTCTTTGTGTGTCTCTTTCTGATGATGGTTGCTTGTGTTGCAACCGAAACGTCGTATTCTATTATATGATTTTATTTTCTACGTGACTTTACCGAAAGAACCAAAGAGTAATTGAATCGATTGGCGGTAGCCCGGGTCACCGCAAAATATTGGTGGGCCGGGCATAGTTTAAGGTTATTTTTCTGGGAGCATCGCTGGTACTACTACCCTGTCATACCGGAGGGCGACGCTGGGAGCGATGATGATGACAATGTCGATCCCGCCAGCACGACCGTGACCGCCGGCCGTACCAAGCGAGCGCCCTTTGCGCCATTGCCAAGACAAGGAGGGGTGGCCGCCCCCGTAGGAAGCAGAACGTGCCGGGGAATGACCAGACCAGCATCCTGATGTACTTTCAAAACAAGCAATAAACAGCCGTTGCCACGCACAAATCCCCAGCAGCCCCCCTTTTTTATGGGTGTTTTGCGTTTGTTTTTTATTTCCATATTTGGCGTGCGTATCAGGCTCTGACATCTCCCGTCTTCATAGGCCTTCTGGTTTTCGAGTTATGGAGGTTTTGGCACCCCCGGGTCACCATCGTGGCCCGGGTCACCGCCAATTGATTAGGCTTCAAAAGAAAGCTGTCTCTGGTGTGGACCAATCAGTTTCAAAGACAATGCATATATTATCAGAGTATTTTTTTTTGCATTCTGACGACAAGTATTGTGGTTAATGCAGACATGATTCCTTGTAAAAGATTTCAGTTTGGTGTTTTAACATCTTAAACACCTGTTTGTTGCCAGAAAAAAGGAGAAAAACCTATTCTCATATCTTGGTACTGGCAAAGGAGGTCCCATGAGGTAAATGTAATACTTAGGTTTTTACGACCGATATTATTCTGAATGTAAGATTTCTGGTAACTGTCTGACGATGCCGGTTATAATTACTAGTGGCACGTCTGTATCCAATATTAAAATATTTGTTTGGATTGCTCTCCAACATTACCGGTGGTGCTGAATCAGTAATACATTGACGCGTTTTTTTTCACGTGACAACTTCAGGTGGAGAGTTTAGGACACACGTTCAGGTTCTGCGATCTGAGCCACAAATCAATCGTGAAAATAAAAAGGTATTCGGATTTTAGTCATAAGGATGCAGATACATTCACATGCTGATGTCTTCATCTGTAGATCGTGAAATATACCCAAGCAGCAGCAGGGCTTGTATATCTGAAACACGAATGTTGCATCTCTCGTAGCGTGTTCTATGTTTAAATACCCAAGTGCCGCCTTGCTTGAACGCAGTGGGATGGTGGCACTTATGTCGTCTGCCCTGAGCCAACGGTGGAAATTACACATTCCTATCGCACAGCGCTAAAGTCTCTATTAGGACATCCGCCATTGCCTTTCCATAAAGTGGCAATAATTTTTTCGACCGAAAAAATTATTTTGAACTCGTAACTTTGTGATTGTAGTACAACATTCTTGATATAAAAGTGTGTTGTTGTTTTTTGCAAAGTGATAAAAAAATATCTCATTGTTTGTATGCTATTATCTGAGAGTTCAATGACCACATGTGTAATGGACTGAGAATTCACCGTGACTTCATGAGCAACGGCTTATACATTGGTTTGATACTGAATGCTCCATAGGGGATAATTACATAGGAAAATTATTATTGTGGATAGGCGTATCTTATACAGGCACACCTCGTTGAATGTTGGGGTTACGTTCCTGAAAAATTCTGTGTTGGATAAAACCGTGTTGGATAAAACCGTGTTCGACAAATAATGGACCTTATGAGAAAATAGGCTTGCGTTCCTGGGTCCAAAATGATCACCCCTCCCTCTTTGTAGAACTAATTCTATATTATTTCCGCCACTGTTATTGTACTCAAGGATGCTGAGTCGCTCTCTATTTATGGTCTGTGTACTCTATTTTTAAATTTCACCTCGGCACAAAACAGCCGTCTCTATTATTCTGCCCGCATCGCTTCACTTACGCCCAATGCTCGCCCCTGATACTAAATTCCCAGCCCGAGGCTCGTCGCTAACACTGCAACTTGAAAATTACTATTTAAAGCTTTCGTGACTGCAGGGATTCATCTTCTAGGTTCTTTCGGTAAAGTCACATAGAATGGAGATAAAATAATAAAAATAATAATAACAATAAAATTCTCACGACGTTTCGGCCACAACACAAGTAGCCTTCCTCAGGTGAAGAAACAGGACTGTCCAGAAGACAGCGCTTGAGTGAACCCTGCCAAGCTTGACAGCGTCTTTTAAGCTGTGTGGGAGGAACAGAGCGCCTTGACAAAGGAGTTTACATATAAATTAGCATGTAACTGGGGGATTAGCATGAGTACCACTGAGACCGACGAGCTCGGACCGGAGGAGCATGAGAATGAGCACCACGGAGAGCGACGAGTTCGGACGAGCTCGGACCGGAGGAGGGGGGAGAGGAATTTACATATAAATTAGCATGTAACTGGGGGATTAGCATGATGTTGGTGTGAGGGATTAGCACCACGGAGAGCGACGAGCTTTGTTCAGACGGACGAGTCCATCTATGTTCGGAACAGAGGAGGGGGGGGGGGGGGAGGAAACGGCCACAGCGCGCTGCTCCGTCCTGTGTTGCGTTATAACTATGCTATAAACTAGACTACTATACATTACAATATTATACCTTTTAATCTAAACTACATTTTATAATATCGTATCCATAGACAAACCCCACCCTTGAATTATACAATGCGTTACTATACACTACCCTATACTTTAGACTATAAAATATTAGACTTATAGTATTACACTATGTATTATTATACTAACCATACTGTATACCACACTGCTGTATATTCACTATACAATTACGGTACTATATATTGCCTTATGAATTATGTTAAACATTACACTGTTATACTATTATTATTATACAAAATGCTATAAACTATACTATTGACCGTCGTGTGAAAGGTACTATGAGGCAGTGCCAGCGAATGGACTGCGGTCTGAAAGTCACCGTAAAATACAATAAATCAAGAACCGAAATGGTTTATAACATCTTTCCAATGGTTACTAAGCCAGAATCCATCTTCTCGTTTGAAATTGTCTCTGTGTTTGTATATATGGATAGCCTCATGAACGAATCTCTCATGGTAGCCGGATGGCTTGCAGAGAACCTCCGTCTTGGAGAAGTCAATGTCATGTGAGCCTACAGAATTAAAACAGTGATCTGCCACGGCTGAGGTGTTCGTCTTACCGTGTTTCAAGTTTGCTTTATGTTCACGGATGCGGTCTGAGATATGTCGTTTGGTTTCTCCAATGTAGCTGCTACCACAGAGGCAACTTAGTTTGTAGATGCCCGGGTACTGTACGTCTGGAACCACATATTTTACAGATGGAACCAGATCATAGATTTTATGTACTTTGTTGAATCGGACCTGGATCTTGTGTTTATTCAGGATTTTGGAGATGTTTTTGTGACCCCCGCAATGTATGGTAAGGTGATGGTTTTGAATGGCTCCTCAAGAGGATCCTTCTTCATGGTTGGAGTGATGGCTTTGCGGATTGTGTAGTCGGAGTAACCATTAGCCTTGAGAGCTTGGTGTACGTGCTTGAGTTCACTAGCAATGTGTTCCTTGTCGGAAATGCATTGGGCTCTATGGTATGGAGTCCTTTGGGACAGCAGGGACACCAAGGCGCACTACCACGGGCGGGAATGGTCACAACAGACCGAGTTCTCTGTGGGGAGGGACAACGTCAAATGGGAGCCACTGGTGGACCCCCAGAAGGTGCTGATGCCACCACTCCACGTAAAATTGGGCCTTATGAAACAATTTGTCAGAGCTGTAGATAAGGAGTCGGCAGCCTTAAAGTACCTCCAAGACTTCTTCCCTAAGCTGTCTGAGGCAAAGGTCAATGCTACAGAATATCCTGGAGTGCAATTAATCCCCCAAGAAGCTCACTAGTAAGGAGAAAGCAGCTTGGAACAGCTTTGTCGCAGTGGTTCGTGGCTTCCTGGGCAATCACAAGGTCAAAAACTATGTGGAGTTGGTTGAGACTCTGGTGAAGAACTACGGCACAATGGGCTGTAGGATGTCCCTCAGAGTCCATATCCTTGGTGCTTATCTTGATGAATTCAAGGAGAACATGGGAGCATACTCGGAGGAGCAAGGCGAGCGATTCCACCAGGATATACTGGACTTTGAACGCCGCTACCAAGGACAGTATAACGAGAACATGATGGGAGACTACATTTGGGGGCTGATTCGTGAAAGTGATTTACAGTGTAATTGTACATCTCGAAAAAACTACTCACTTCTCAATCTTTTGTAGTAATTTTTGTATTACATTAGTACAAATACATGTTAATTTTGATTTATATATTTTTTTCTGACTTTATGTGAAAGAAAAAATACAAATTCGCCCATTTTCTCATTGAAAATCGGTACATTTCAAAATATCACTGTCCTGGTCACAAAAGCAAAGTTTGTGGGGAATAATAGCCATTTTCTATACTTTTTAGGCATAAGCAATTACAAAATAACAGTTACTACCCAGGAACAAAAATGTTGTTACATAGTGTAATAAACCGCGAATACATGCAACCGCGGTTGTTAATTCTGCGGTTGGCGAGGGATTCCTGTATCGCCGAAACATCGCCCCGTGCTCCGGAAAGCAGGCCGCATTAGGTAAACTATGTAGAGTCAAAAAACACGTGCTCAATAAAGCCGAGTTGGGCTCGGTTTTCCTGTACTCTAGCGGTCGTGCCTTACACTTATAATTATCAGTACTCCAAGCCAGCCAGCCTCGCAACGATCCAGGATATATCGAGTGGGAAATGTTCACCTACCTACAGGTCGAGTGCCCCCTTGCCCCAGGTCGAAGCTGCCTGTGCCCGTCACGCAGGCTGATTTGTGCCGTTTTGTGTTTCAGGACAATGAAGCTGGTGCTCGTGCTGGTGGTGCTGGTGCAACTTGGGGAATGTCACGTAACACAAGTGAAGAATCACGGGACCAACACTCAAGGTGAAGTGAGGGTCACGCAAGGATGCGGGAACACACCTAAGAGAAGTAAAGACAGGTGACGGAATCAAGCCGTGAATAAAAAGACAGCAGTTTGGAGGGAACCTGAAGGGGGTATATTTGGCGGGAAATAAGGAGAGAGGAGAGCCGAGAGGAAGTTTGGGAGAGTTCCAGAAAGTTTGGGGAGAGAAAGAATATAATACAGCTGTACCAAAAAGACTCCCGTCGTGTGGACTCATTCTTTACTTGTTTTTGCACAATTTAATTTAAAACCCTGCTTGAACATACTTCACCCTCGTCATTGCTATAATATACGGCACATTGCATATCCGACTCGCTGAGGAATGAGGTATAGGCCAACATGTGGTAAGGTTGCAAAAGTGAATATTTATCGAAAGTGGCAGTTACATTGTGTTTAGTTAGACTGCATTGGGTGTGGCCGATTTATTTGCTTATTGGTTCAATTGGTGAGGGTGGATATGTGACTGCCCTATACCCGACTTAAGCACCGCTCTATGTATCACTCCACTACAAACTGCAGATTATACACAAGTGCTTTCTTTCTCCTTCACCTTCTAGGTGCAGACAAGGCCATCACCTATTGTGGAGACAGTTGGTTTTCCCTCGCCATTGACGGAAACACGATGATGTGCTACAACAGGAACGAGTTATACACGAGCTCGAAGGGTGGTCTTGATCAAAGTTGGTGGAAACTGGACATGCATAAGGAGGTCGACGTCTACGCTGTGAATATAACGTTCAAGAACGATAATAAATACAAACACATATCTTCTGAAGTCCACATTGGAATGTCTTCCGACGACGTGACCAAATATGTGAAGCAAGTATATCCCAATTGAAATATGTGCATTATGTCTGCTGTTCCTCGAATTTAACATTCTCAGCCTTCATAAGTCTACATCATCATTAGTACTGGCTTATTACAGGAAAATATAAAGTAGACTAACCGTTTGGGCAGAGGTCCATGTTCAGTGGCTAGAAAAGGCCATTGCCAAAAATGTTAGTTGACCACCTGCCACTGGACCCTGAACAAATCTACTAGAAAATACTTCTGGCCTAGGAGTACAGTTACATATAGAAGATGCAAGAGTGTTCATGCCAGGATGGGATAAACAACATGTCCAAATAAAACACGGAAGGAGAGTGTAATAGTTGTAATGAGGATGAAGAGGTTGTAACAGAGTATATGCACAAGATTGGGAAGGGCAGGTTACTTAAACAAGCACTGGGGACACCCAGAGCTTGGGAATTATTTGGGAAGACGTAAAGTCAGATGTTGGTGATATTAAGACTTTCAGAGCAGTCCTCGGAGGTTGGGTGTTGACTGTGCAATTGTTTTGGCGTGTTACAGAAGGAAGAAATGGTGAGCTGCAGTGGCATCAACGACATGTTCATGATGACCTCTTGATCTGAGTATTGCTTCAGAAAATAGGCTGATTTCCTGTGAAACACAGGAGGCCAATGCAATTCGCAGTGGGAATTCTAAGGCAGAAACCCGGACATGTAGGTTAGAATACCAGCCTTTGGCCCAAAACACAAAATCTTACGTGGAGTGAATATGATGGTCTCTGTCTGGTCACCAATGACTGCATAAAAGAGCCATTTATTACTATAATGAGCCAAGAATGTCTGTGTCCTGCACGTGACGTCAATCCACGTCGACTAGCCAACCTCATTAATAATCATGAATAGTATTATTTGGTTCTTTCGGTAAAGTCACGTAGATAGAAAAAAAAATAAAGTGAATAAAATAATAAACATTTCATACAAATAACAAAAAACACTCATGTAGACTGTAGCCTGGTTCTTAATCGGAGTAAGTGTACTGGCAGTCTATAATGTAGACTTATTCTTGGTTCTTTCAGTAATACAAATAAAATAAATATAAAAAACGCAAATAAAAACTAAAAACCACGACGTTTCGATCCCAACACAAGCGGTCGTCATCAGGAAAAGGGGGGTTAGCCTCTAAAGGCAAACTGTTTATAAAGGTTTAAAGATGGGCGTATCCCAAGTGTGTCAGCAGCATGGGCGGGGCAGCTAATGTTAATGTAGGAGAAAGCAACTAAGCGACATGTCTCGGACCGTGTTCATGAGCATAAGGCATATTTGAAACACGATAGGACCAATACATCTGCCGTGGCTGATCATTATTTTAATGTGGCCGGTTCACAGGAAATTTATTTATCTAAGACTATGGTACTTTGCAAGCCTACTGGCTATCAACAAATATTTGTTCATGAAGCCATCCACATATACAGACACAATTTCAACCGAGAGGATGGTTAGAAACTCAGCAATCATTGGAAAGATGTCATCAACCACTTTGGGTCATGACTTAATTTGTTTTTTCTTGTCAACCTCCACCGTCAGCAGTGTGGGTATGTGGAGCTCGGTGCAATTATTGCCTGGTGGCCCTTTGATTGGTGGAGACCCACTGCGTTGGCGTTGCTTTCTCCTACATTAACATTAGCTGTCCCGCCCATGCTGCTGACACACTTGGGATACGCCCATCTTTAAACCTTTATGAACAGTTTGCCTTTAGAGGCTAACCCCCCTTTTCCTGATGATGACCGCTTGTGTTGGGATCGAAACGTCGTGGTTTTTAGTTTTTATTTGCATTTTTTTATATTTATTTTATTTGTATTACTGAAAGAACCAAGAATAAGTCTACATTATAGACTGCCAGAATGCTCACTCAGGTTAAGAACCAGGCTACAGTCTACATTACAGACTGCCAGGTCACATGCGGGTTGGTTTGTGGGGGCCTCATAGGAGCCTCACGATAGTGTGTTCAGAACACAGTTCTTCTTTGCGGGGAAGTACAAAAGTGCGTTGTCTGCAATAATCACCATCAGTGACTCTGTGACAAGAGTAGGCCATGGTGTTCCTGAATCGTACCGCAAGTGCTATGGCTGAAATGTCAGATCTTTTCCGGCTCAAATTAGAAATTTACTCAGGGCCACGACTGGAGTGGCACTCATTATCAGTGGTGCAAATTATACATTGCCAATGTAGGGGCCAATCTCCCCACAGTAAAAACACTGTTGAATTCTCACGAAGTGGTGCTTATTTTATTGGCTCCAGAGGGGTGACTGTGAATCGACCAACACCTCGGTCGTGGCAGATCACTGTTATAATTCAGTAGGCTCACATGACATTGACTTCTCCAAGACAGAGGTTCTTTGCAAGCCATCTGGCTACCATGAGAGGTTCGTTCATGAGGCTATCCACATATACAAACACAGAAACAATTTCAAACGAGAAGATGAATTCTGGCTTAGCAATCATTGGAAGGATTTGATAAACCATTTTGGGTCTTAATTGATTGTTCACGCTTACGGTGGCTTTCAGAGCGCATCCATTATTTTCGTCTCCCCCCTCCTCTTTTCCGTACATAGATGGACTCGTCCATCTGAATAACTGCCAAATCGCTCTCCGTGGTGCTAACGTTAAAAAACTGCCACTTATTTCAAATGTTCTTGCTGTGGTTTTCACACCTGATGATGATTGCTTGTGTTGCAGTCGAAACGTCGTGAGAATTGTATTGTTTTATATTTTTATTATTTTATTTTTTCCCTTCTACGTGACTTTACCGAAAGAACCAAGACTATGAATCCCTGCAGTCACGAAAGCTTTAAATCAAAATTTGTGAATCTAATGTTTTTTTTTCAGTACCTTCCAGCTAAATTTCACCAGGACATGGCAACGCCGGAACAACAAAATCACTAAACGTCTAAGTAAGCATCGAACTGCTATTTTGCAGATGAAGGGCATAGCCAGAGTTGATGTTCGTAATCACAACGGTTCTATATTTGTTGCAGGTGCAAAACTCTGGAGGAGGCTGCCCCAAACACCGTGGTGACATTTAACTGTAAAGGAGTGAAGGGACGCTACATCTTCTTCAATTTCACATCCTATACTCCGTTGAGTTTATACGAGGTTCAAGTCTCCACTGCTCCCCTCTTGGAAAATGGAAGTATGTGAAGCGATTCTCTTGAGATTATTCCTGTAAACCAAGGCCAATTAGAGTATGCGAATCAGTTTCCCATTCTTGTGTTTACCATGTTAATTGACATACTGTCAAACAAGGAAATATCCTTAGGCGGCTGGATGGCTCCTGGGACTCATAATGACTGGCAGAACACTGAAACAGCACTGATGAAATCTCAGGTGTTGAGTGAAGTCTTAGCTCTCGAGCAATGTATAACGGCCAGGTCATAGCGATGACCTAACACTGTTGAGCTACTGGGCGAGAATAGAGATTAAACCAGGATTCGTCGTGTGTTGAGTTGGTGGTCTCAGCTTGATCACCAATGACTGCACCAAAAGCCTTATTTCACATTTACATTGTGGATAGCTATACATACACCAGGTCTGTGAACTGAGGCTGTGAGTGTTGTCATGCAATGAACACTTTGCAGGGCATAGTGGTGGCTTCAGAAGTCATTCAGGAACATCATCAATCGGGGCCACTTTCGCAATTGGTCGCGAGACTTGTTTCACTCAATTGGAATATAATTAGAATCTTTACCAATCATATTTTTCTTGTTTCGTATGGTGTTTGTGGGGTGGGGTGAAAGAAAGGATATACAGCAACATCAACAACAACAAAAATCTGTTATCCAGAATCCATGGGGAATTAAGGGTGCTGGTTCGTTAAATATGCCGGTTATCTGAGGGTTATACTTATGGTTCACCACATTTTCCAAGTTACATAAAACTTTTCAAGAAAAAAAACTAAGCCCTACATTTTAATGATGACATAAGAAGTAATATGCTCTTTGACAGAGGTACTCACCGGTCAGTTGTAGAACATTCTAAGTTGATTGTAGAGAAGCAGTCGGGCCCGTTTAGAGTACAAAATACAGTGGTAGAGTATTCTTTGTATAAACTGCCGCTAGCGCCATTACTCGGCAGCGTCCTGAAGCTCCCGTAAACAACAACAAATAATAATTTCATTTTATAGAGCGTCATTCATGCAATTGCCATCCCACAACACCGCACATCAATTGATGATGCGAACACAAACCCCCCACTACTGAGCAAATAAAAAACGGGAAGATGAATACTCATGAATGACGAGAACAAAAAATGTGCACGGGTACGCGAAGGAAGATTCATATTGCCGTCTATGACAGATGCCCGTTATTTAGAGCATTCCGGATGGTAAAGTGCCGAATAACAGAGCTTTTGCTGTTTTTGTATATTTAATTTATAAGCCATTACACAGTATCCGGGGTAGCTGAGCGGATTCCGCTCGTTCCACCAGAACACGCGTGTTGTTTTGGGCGGTCATCAGTGATGTTCGGACGGTGGTTTGCACCTCACCACATTCCCGGTTTGGTGGGTCCAGATCTTTCATTTACGGAGGAAATATTGCGCACCTTCCATGTGTTGTTCAGACACTTCAGAGTTGTCCTCAATTGTCGGGGCAGAGATAAACCAGGGATGTTCCTTCCTCAGGTCTTCAATAAGATTCTTGTTTATTAACCATCGTAATTACTTAGCAAAAGTAATACGGTTTTAATTAATAATGTTTTTTTTGGTATTCGGAGGTTGTTATTGCCCTGTCAAGCGATGGCATTACACACTTTAACTTGAGGACACAACAAAGTGCCGCGTCACCTTTTACAGTCTCAGGCGATGCATGCAGGTCGCTTTATTCAAATCGGAATGTGTGGGAAATGTGAGATAATGATGAATCAATGAATACCGCGCTCCCACCAGAACGGTTCTGCTGGGTAAGCTGCACGGGCTGCAGAGTGTCCATCCGGTCGAGAGAGCTCTGACGAGGCCACCTCGGCCATTGCATTCCGGTCACTCAACAAATCTACCTGCATCCGTGAGGCCTGAGATTTCGAAAACCTGAGACAGAATTTGTAGCCGCCTCAACCTGGAGTCATGAGCCGCCACTGAGTCCTTGTCATGAAAATTGTATTTGACCAGTGATCGTGGTGTACGGGGAGGCGATGCAGTCGAGCACAGCCGGGCCTGACCACAACGCGTCCAAAGCCATCGACAGTACAAACGGCACCAACTTCTGCAGTGGGATGTGCAGCGCCACCAGCTACGAGTGGGAGCCCTGGTTCTGCATCACGCTTGACGACGTGTACACGGTGGATGCCGTCAGCATCACCAATCGAGACGACACGGAGGGCATTCGTCTCTTTGGAGTGCACATTAAAGTAGGAGAATGGTCCAATCACAGCAAGAATGCCCTGTAAGTAACAACAACAATACCGATTATTTACCCAGCAAAGCCTCGCCTGGTCACACAAATAGAAGCGTCCTGCATTGGGGATCTTCCATTGATGAGCATTTGGCATGTTGAACTTCTTTCGCACCTGTACGTCGCCAACCGTGATAATCGGAGGCATGTTGGTAGTACCTGGAGAAGAGCCACACATCCTGCTGTTGTCCCTCCCGGCCATATCTAGTGCCACACTCAACTCTACAAACGGCTACCCTCGTTACTTTGCGTCCATACTTGTTGCTCGATTTGCCACTACACTTGCAAATGAAAACAGCTTATAGACACTTCTACACTCCATCATTGTATCCTTTTAAACCCTATCTTTGTCCCATTACTTCACCAGCACTCCTTACAAACTTCATTCTGCTCTTAAAAGTAACACCATCTGCGAGCTGCTGCTATTCGTCCAAGGTTCGCCGCTCTTCATCCTTTCACAGAAAATACCTGTGCAAACTATTAATTTTACTTTTCTTATTTCTGGGTGGTATTCAGCTTCATCCTGCCCCAAATGTAAAGAACTCGTATAATTCTGTAGATTTTTCTGGCAGAAAAGGTGTTGGTGTTCTACATGTCAACATCAGAGGGCTTGTGATTAAATTGTCAACTAAAACTAGAAGTGGCAAATCTTGACCCGGACATTTTTTGCCTAACAGAAACATTTCTCACTCCTGCCGTCAATGACTTGCAGATTATGATTGACAACTACAACTTTTTTCGGCTTGACCGAGGATCTAAAGGAGGTGGAATTGGCATCTATATTCGTAATACCAGCTCACTCCTTGCGTAAAAATGTTGCTTTGAAGGTCTGGCTCTCAGAATAACTCTCCCAAATAATCAACAGATATTGGTAGTGCGCTGCTATAGACCGCCTAGTGGGAAGTATGTTGAAGCTGGATCTGCACTGAGAGAGCTTTTTGGGGGCCTCCCTAAAGGTGAAATAGTTTTAGTGGGTGATCTAAATTGAAATTGGCTAAACCCGCTGGCCGTAGCCACAAATTTGGCAGATGAATTTAACCTGTTTCAACCTAAAAAAAAATCCGGGACAGTCATCTCTGCTTGACGTCCTATTGACAAATGCCCCTCACAATTTCGCACTGACTGGTGTTCTGGGTAATAACCTTAGAGATCACTCCTTCATTTTTGGGGTGAGATCATCAGCCAGACCCAAAGCCCCACCCTAAATTGGTTGAGAAGCACTCCATGAGACACTTCAGCACTCAGGCATTTACTAATGATGTGCTTCACTCGGATATTGACAAGGTCTGTGATATCCCCAACCTGACTACGGCCTGGGAGACCTTCAGGTACACGTTTCTCCAAATTCTTAACAAACATGCTCCGTTGGTTAGATTTCTTCAGCCATTTCAATGCTAAATTCTATGCTAATTCCTTTGTCAAGGCGCTTTGTTTCTTCTCACAGCTTAAAGGTCGCGATCTGAGCGTGGCTTTTTCACTCCAGCGCTGTCCTCCAGACAGTTGCGTCCCTTCACCTGATGAAGGCCGCTTGTGTTGTGGCCGAAACGTCGTGAGAATATTATTGTGTTATTTTATTTGATCAATTTATTATTTTATTCTCATTCTACGTGACTTTACCGAAAGAACCAAAGAAGAAGAAAAGTAATTTGGTCAATCATTGGCTAGAATACAGGATTTTAAGGAATAGATGCGTCAAAAAAGTACGTCATGCAAAAAATGCCTACTTTTCCTCCACTCTCCTGGAATCACATGGAAATGCCAGGATTTTCTGGAAAACAACCAAATGTATAGAAAAGGCATCCAAAACAGATAATCTGCCCGTTGAGCTTAACCGAAATGTGGAATATTTTTCAGATCCCAAAAAAATAGTTGACAATTTTAACCTTCATTTTTCTGAAGCTGGTAATCTTTTTGATAATGTATTGGGAGTCACCCCTGCTCATGCAAATTCCTACACCCATGTCCAAACATTAAACGAATTTACTTTTCAGCCAATCCACGAAAGTAACGTTCTGAAACAGCTGTCCTACCTCAAAGGGTCCTATTCTACTGGAGCAGATAGTATTTCCGTTTTTGCTCTACTAACTGTTGATCACCTAATATACAAACCTATAGCCCATATTTTCAACCTGTCCATCAAAGAAGCATCAGTTCCTCTAGAATGGAAACATTCCTATGCCCATCCACTTCACAAAGGGGGTCCTAAAGATGATCCAAATAACTACAGACCTATCTCAATTTTGTCCCCGTTGATGAAAATTTTTGAAAAATTATTGATCAAATTAGCAGTTTCCTGTCCACTAACAATCTATTACATCTAAAACAATATCGGTTCCAAAAAAAAATACAGCACCACATCTGCTTCATTAGACTCTCTGAATCACATTTACAGTAGCCTTGATAATAAGCAGTACTGTGCCTGTCTTTTTCCTTGACCTGTCCAAAGCTTTTGATACAGTAGACCACAACACCCTGCTAAGTAAACTAAATTGCCTCGATTTTTCCGAAAACGCAATAAAATGGTTAAAAATTACCTCTTTTCTCGCACCCAAACTGTATTCACAGATGGTTGGAGGTCAAACAGTGTTAAGATAACAAAAGGGGTTCCACAGGGTTCCATCCTCGGCCCCCTTTTGTTCTCTCGTTATGTCAATGACTTGGGCACTGACCTGGATCATTCCAGGGTAAATCTTTTTGCAGATGACACGATACTGATTACTGCTGGCCGCTCTCCGGATGACGTGATTGCTAAGCTACAGGGTGATTTAAACAAACTACAAAATTAGCTAGTTGCTCTTAAACTAGTCCTGAATACCTCCAAAACCAAGGTGCTATGCTTCTCACCAAGACTAAAGCAGTAAGTTATTTTTCCCCAATTACATTCCTTAAATAATGATTAAATAGAGCAAGTCAAGATCTATAAGTATCTTGGGGTCATCCTGGATTCAAAACTGAATTTTGAAGATCACATTGATTATATTGGTAAAAAGACAAACATAAACATTGGTTTCTGTATCGACACAAGCACTGCTTCCCCCCGATGTTCTGTGACATCATGTATAAATCAGCCCCAAGTACTGTACTGAAGAAGCTTGATTCCATTTATCACTCGACCTTAAGATTTGCATTGAACTGCCCATATAGGACTCACCACTGTGATCTCTACATTGGGTCAAACTTACCATATCTTAATGTTCGACGGCTTGTGCACCAGATCTTATTTATTCACGATGTACTTACAAAAAAATCCGCAGACTACCTGCTGGATCTCCTCTCTGTTTCAAAGAACAAATGTGAACTAAGGTATGTATAAATACAATAAAATCATGTTAAAACAAAAAACAATCACGACGTTTCGATCACAACGCAAGCGATCTTCATCAGGTGTCAAGAACAAATCACGGAGGTAAATACAACCAAAAGATGAGAGACGAGAATTCAACAAACCTGAAAAAACATTATGTGAAGCACATCCAGTCAGGCCAACAACACAGTTAGACACTTCCTGGCGGACCATGAATTTCAGAAGAGTGTTAAATTTCGTGTTCAACCTTTGGATTGCACATACCAGCATAGATAGAATGAAAAATACGAGGTACACGGTCAGTAGAAATACATATACAAGTCCACCTCCCTGTCCGTCTTTCCTCCCTCCTTACCTCTTGGTGGACTTGTATATGTATTTCTACTGACCGTGTACCTCGTATTTTTCATTCTATCTATGCTGGTATGTGCAATCCAAAGGTTGAACACGAAATTTAACACTCTTCTGAAATTCGTGGTCCGCCAGGATGTGTCTAACTGTGTTGTTGGCCTGACTGGTTGTGCTTCACATAATGTTTTTTCAGGTTTGTTGAATCCTTGTCTCTCATCTTTTTGTTGTATTTACCTCGGTGATTTGTTCTTGACACCTGATGAAGATCGCTTGCGTTGTGATCGAAACGTCGTGATAGTTTTTGTTTTAATATATATTTTTTTTATTTCTACATACGTGACTTTACCGAAAAAACCAATGAGTAATTTTATGCAGTCACGAAAGCTTTAATACTTTATTGACCTAAGGTCTTCGCTCATTTACCAGCTTCACATTCCCTATTGCCGTACAAATACTGGAGGAAGGGCCTTTGCTATTGATGCCCCCAGGGTCTGGAATGCTATTTCTAATAAACTGCAACTTGAATCACTACTTATGAGATCTTCACTCAAAACTCCTCTAGAGGAGTCGTACACCCCTAGCTGCCACTGCTATTCAGTGGCCTAAAATAAAATAAAATGTTTCGCTCCGGATGACCGCTGCAAAGTATTATCTGTATTTTATTTAGTGTGCTGATCTTAAAGGTGCATTAAAATTTTGATACTCCGACTGATGCTCCTGCTGTTGTGGAGTGACTCATGCAGCCAGCTATGGCTGCAGGGTTTGGTGGTACATGTTGTTTATGGTGAAAATTCGGCCACAGTTCCTATGATCACTGTTACATTGCTTTTATGGCTTTATTTTGGTGATTTCGAAAAGTTTTTTGGTTTGGCCATGTTTGTTTGTTGTAGTACGGAGTTAGACTGATGGCCTAAATCTAGGTTGTCTTGTGGTTGTTGTTATTTGACTTGCATCCCACTGGGATTTCTGCACACAGCGTTGGTGTACGGTGTTTTTTCTGGAATATTTTGAACCAGTGGAGATCCCACGACACAGAAAACAGGGGGCCCCAAGTATGAGAGGGAGGGTTCCCACATCCACAACCAGTGTAAAACTTCCAGCAGTGCGATGAGATCTTGGAGGTCAGCTGCCCCTCAGGCTAGAGCTATACACAACTACAGGCAGGCATTGGAATGTTTGAGATGTAAAGTGATGTGAGGCACTTTTTTAAATACTGGGGCATTAAACACCCAGTAAGTGCGAACCTTTATCCTCAGCCGTCACTTGTCACCACCTACGGGATCTGGAAGAAGTAAGGAAGCGATGGTGAGTCATGGTGGTATTGGTCATAATTACCTCTTTCACGTGAACGTAATTGTTACTTCAGCCATTACGAGGTGGGGATGGGAGAGGGGGTACAAGCCCCATAGGTTAATTTATAGAATTGCCACTGCCACCTACACTGTTTAAATTTGAGGGGGGGGGGGGGTTCTTTGTATGAGAGTGGCCACAAAAATAATGCTTCTGATTTTTAAGATTCAAATGCTTTTCGGAGTGGAGACAAAGCTGCGGCCTTTGGCGAATTCTGAAGCGTCTTGCTGCCACGTGTCCACTCGGGCTGTGTGCTCCTGGGTTGCGCGTTGCTCTGATCGCGGTCGCACCGCTGCGCTGTCTTCCAGGTGCGCAGGCGACATCTTCGTGACTCCGGGCCAATCGGTGCGCTTCCCGTGTCAATCACAGTTGGGCCGATACGTCTTCATCGTCATCCCTGGGAGGATGGACTCGCTGAGTCTGTGTCAGGTTAAGCTCGACGTGAGGGCTGATGGCTCTCAGGTGAACGTGGTTTACTAGGCCGAATATTCATATAAAAGTGATTACTGGGCGACATTACTGGTGCATCAGGTGTATACAATCATGGTTGACGTTGCCGGGTCTCAGTGATGCCAAAGAATAAGGTAAAGTCGTGTCCAGTTGATGATAAACTATAACAATAAGGTATTTCGTAATACATTTTTGGATCAGATTGTGGAAATAAAATGTATGTCGTACACCATCCTCCAGGGGCCGTCCATAAATGACGTCACGCACCTGGGGGGGGGGAGGTCAGACATTTGTGACGATGTGTGACGAGGTGGAGTTGAGAAATGTGACGTCACGTCAAAATGCGCAACTTTAAATATATATAGACAACACGTTCTACTTAATTAAATAGACTTTTTAATAAATGTTTTCTCCTACAACATCAGAGTGCAGCGCCACATTAATTACGCACTGCAATGACAATAGTTTAAAGCGATTTGAAGCGTGTTTTATTTTTTTGGGGGGGGGGGGGCAGAGCTTTGTGACGTCATATTTAAGGGGGGGGGGTCTGACTTTTTGTGACGCCGTGTGACGATGGGGAGGTGGAGGGGGGTCAAAAATCGTCCAAAATCGCGTGACGCCATTGATGGACGGCCCCATAGCCAATTAATAAAGTTAACACGTGAACAAGCATCCTAGTGTATTACTTCTTCAGCACCACTGGCTGGTGTGTCGGAGAGCGATCCACAATCCAGTGTACAACACACATCTTAATCACACAAACTCTGATTGAAAAAATCTATTACGAATCGTATTGGTCTTGAAAGGCCACGTGTTTAAATAATAATGTACTTTATGTCATGATTTACAGCCCCTTGTCAATCCACTGCTGGGTGGAGGCCTCCCCACGCCGTGTCAGTCAGTGTGAGTTGTGTGAACACATCACCTAGGTTTGAGTCCCAGCCAATGGCTAACGTCAATCGTGAATGAGATCTGCACCAATCATTGGCCTCTCCCCTTCTCAAAGAACCCCCACAACCAATGCGGAACGGGAAGGTGCCTTGACTCAGTAGTGGATTGACAAAGAGCTCTAAATTATATTGCATGCGTGTCTTCAAAATATCTAATGGAAATAAATAATTACGTTGTATTCAACTATTTCAGTTTCACTCGTTTTTACCATGGTCCTGCGTCGAGATGTGTGGCCAATTATGTGTTAAGGGTGTTTTGCGATGTGAGAATAAAACTCGAGCAACTGGAGAAAATTAACACAAACAAATGGACCAGTAGCCCGCAAGTCCTTTGGACGTGACCATCCGTCCACCTGTCCCGCCCTCCAGCCACCCAGCCAACGTTTTTTTTCTCCGAATATACTATGATTGGGTTATTATCCTATGATTATTTGTCACAAAATCATGAGAGAAAAAATATCTTTGTTGTAAAATCATGAAAAAAACTTTTGGGTGGGACAGACACGGACATATACACATAGAAATTTAAATATCTAACATAAATAGATCCAACAATGGTGGCTTTGATGGACAGAAATGGAATGTTCATCCTATCAAAAACCTCGATACTGGGCTGACACCATATACAGTGAGGGAAAAAAGTATTTTATCCCCTGCTGATTTTGTACGTTTGCCCACTGACAAAGAAATGATCAGTCTATAATTTTAATGGTAGGTTTATTTGAACAGTGAGAGACAGAATACCAACAACAAAATCCAGAAAAACGCATGTCAAAAATGTTATAAATTGATTGTCATTTTAAGAGTGTGCACCTAATCTCAGCTCGTTACCTGTATAAAATACACCTGGGAGCCAGAAATCTTTCTGATTGAGAGGGGGTCAAATACTTATTTCCCTCATTAAAATGCAAATCAATTTTTAAAAATTTTGACATTAGTTTTTCGGGATTTTGTTGTTGTTATTCTGTCTCTCACTGTTCAAATAAACCTACCATTAAAGTTATAGACTGATCATTTCTTTGTCAGTGGGCAAACGTACAAAATCAGCAGGGGATCAAATACTTTTTTCCCTCACTGTAGTGTGGGTGATTTCAGGATTGTCCATGTCCTGACATAGCCTGACAAATGGGAAACGGTTTTGTATGCTGTCCCCTCAACGTGCATAGCACCAGGTCCAAGACTCCCCACCTGTAAGGACTTTTAGGGCAAGATTCCCATTTATATAATGCATCTCAATCAGCTCAAACCTCCCTAAATCACGTGACTTATGTGCGGCCACTCCCACTCTGAAACCGTTCCCTTTCTACGCAGTCCTCTTGAAAAATCAGACGCGACTCCGCGCAGCAGCGTTGAGGCTCATATGGGGCCTCTTCCCCGCTAACCACATCTCTCCTGACCCCTTTTACACCATTTCTATGTTCCTTTTCCTACCCTTTTCTCCTATTTCCCACCTTTCTCTTCTCTCTTAACCTTCCCGTTCCAATTTCTTTTTCCATGCATTACCTCCTTGACTCGCTTTTGCGGCCGTCTGGAACTCTCTTCCGATTAGAAAGTCACGAGCTATGCAATTTAAAATCTAGATTTAAAACGCATTTCTTTAGAATTGCTATTTGTGTTTAGTTTGTTGATTAGCACGGTTGGCTACGTACGGTGCCAAAGAAGTTGAACGTACATAGGAGTCTACTCCCCTTCCCATGGTATTCCACGGGTAAAAAGGTTTTATACCGATCAGTTATCTTAACACAGTGGCCGAAACACATTGTCTTGACGATTTGTTCCATTCTTATTCACGATGGACAACTATACATCCACAACTTAGTTCATCACGGTGTCTCTCAGGGATCAGTATTAGGCCCCATCATGTTCTCTGTCTATTTGGCCCCACTTGCAGCTTCCTTACGACACCAAGTGCTCAGCTATCACAGCTTTGCAGATGATGCTCAGATCTAACTACAGGTGGGATTTGATGGTGCATCTACAGGTTCATTTTTAGCACAGTCAATTTCTCATGTCAAAGCCTGGATGTCTCGAATCTTGCTTAAAATGTAATGATAAAACACAGGATTTTTTATTTTAATCAGTAGGCTCCATCAGGTATCCAAATAAATCCCTCTTAACTTGGTTATTGATGGTTGGAAATTCTATCAAACACATGAGGTCAACAATCTTGGTGTCCTTCTAGATCAAACTTTATCCTTTTAGCCCCATGTCAACAGAAACGTGAGAACCTTTTTTCCACCTGAAAAACACATCCGGCTCTGTCACATCTTTAACACTGCACACTGAAGGACTGATCCACGAATTTTTCTCCCGCATTGACTACTGTAATGCCCTGCTTTTTCGAACCCCGAGCAAGCTCCTAAAGGGGCTGCAGTAGTTAGCACCCTAGCGGTCACCAGGGTGATAACTGGTACACCCTTAAAGGATCACATCACACCTGTGCTCCTGTTCTTATCACTGGCTCCCTGTCCATGCCCGTATTGGTTTTAAGATACTCTTGCTGGTGTAATGAGATAGTGACATCTACTGGTTGGAAAAGAGAAGCACGGGTAGAGGCACCATTAGAAACATTATCCAATCTCCTAACGGAGAGGTATCTAGGCAAAAGGTGAAGGGCGGGGCCGGCCGAGAAACTCCGAGAACCGGCTAGAAAGTTCCACGAGAGGGCGTGGCCGGAGGCGGAGCCTAGCCACGCCTGGGGCAATGTAAGAAGAGGCGGAGCCTAGCCACGCCTGGGGCAATGTAAGCGGAGGCGGAGCCTAGCCACGCCTGGGGCAATGTAAGCGGAGGCAGAGCCTAGCCGCGCCTGGGGCAATGTAAGCGGAGGCAGAGCCTAGCCACGCCTGGGGCAATGTAAGCGGAGGCGGAGCCTAGCCACGCCTGGGGCAATGTAAGCGGAGGCGGAGCCTAGCCACGCCTAGGGCAATATAAGCGGAGGCGGAGCCTAGCCGCGCCTGGGGCAATGTAAGCGGAGGAGGAGGAGGACTCGGGGTCGGTGTGTGGTGTCTTGGGTCCGGACTGCGTCGCTGCTCGCCGTCATCTCTCTCCGTCGTTCGGCCACGTGGCGGATCTCCTGCGGAGTTCCACGGCCCTCCCCGGGACGCCGTCAGCCAGTGGCGAGACCGGGAGTGGATGGGCGCAACCCCGCCGTGTGATCGACCGTGTGTGTAGTCTGCAGAACATTAATATCTAAGTGTGTACTTGGAGAGGAAGCCGATAACGTTGGCCTGTGCTGTGCTGTGCCCATACGTAGAATAAAGTAGAGTACCCTCTACACGACGTGTCGCGGAAGTCGCTCATTACACTGGTATTCATGGCCTTAAATGGACTTGCTCCTCCCTACATTAATGACCTCCTTCAGCCATGTATATTCCAACAAGATCCTTAAGATCCTCAGATTACGCATTGCTCACTGTACCATGATCTAGGCAACACACTTGGGGTGATGGTGCCTTTGCAATTGTGGCACCTAAACTCTGGAACTCCTTGCCCTTCGAGGTCAGGACTTCTAAGACACTACATATCTTGACTAAAATATATCTGTTAAAAATGGAATTCTCTCTTTAGTTATTTTCAAACATCTTTCTCACTTCTTCTTTCCTCGGTTGATGTTAACGACTTCCACATTTTCATGCATAGAGCCCTAAAAACAATTGTATAAGGGCGCTTTATACATTTCAATTCTTATACAGTGGTACCCCAGAGATCGAACTTAATTCGTTCCAGAAGGCAATTCGAACACCGATTTGTTCGAACTCCGAATTAATTTTCCCCATAAGAATTAATGTAAATGACATTAATTGGTTCCAGACACAAGTAATCTCTTATTATAAAGCATTTTTACACGAAGTTTACAGTAATTACATGCATAAAATTATACAAAAAAAACAAGAAACACAAAAAATTAATAAATGGAATAAATGAATAAATATATGGAATAAATGAAATAAATGAACATTGAACTTCACTTTACCTGTAGTAAGGAGAGTTGATGGCTTGAATGGAAGGTGGTGAGGAGGAGGAGGTGGTAAAACCTTTATCTGTGCAATCGTCATGCACGCTGGGCCATACGCGTCTCAGCCGTGTACAGGTTATTTCAAGTCGTGATTGCCCGTTCGACCTCCGAATTTCGTTCGGTTTCCGGGGCAAAAAATGTTCGTAAATATCGTTCGAACACCGATTTGTTCGAGTTCTGGTGCGTTCCGTCTCCGAGGTTCTACTGTATTATTATTCAAGGAGACAACCGCTCTCTAGTGTCCTCCTCGGTGTGTGTGTGTGTGAGGCACACAGTCAGAAACGAGGCAGTTGCAGGAGGCACCTTTTCTTTTATTCCGTTACACCACTCCGGCCGTTCACACTCGCACGGATCGCCTCCTCTCTCAAGCACATTGCCGTACAGCCCGGCCTAGACACGACCCTGACCGCGTTGCACCGACGGCGTCAACCGAGACAGCCAACTACTGTCCGGCCGCGCAATGATCGGGCGAAGGCGGCAGTGACGAAGGTGGCCAAGACGACAGCGACGACGAGACAAGTCCACTCCCTGAATCGGCAGCCGGGAGCTCTCGCTCTCAGCTGATTTTATTCTACTCAGCACGGCCTGGCTCCGCCCTGGCCACGCGTCCTTTCTCGAACCTAATAGCGGGTTCTAGGGGCCTCCCGATGAGGTCTACCGTGACCCTTGCTCCGGTTCCTCCGCCCTGCCGGCACACCCGTGTATATGCTCGATGGCGTGTGCGCTAACTCTCCACCACAGTTGCTGCTGCTGGACAGCAGTCGGCGCTGTGTCACTACACATGCACATCAAAGCAGGCACACACATCACCGCCCATCACTCACGCCCTCTGCCACACACCACTTCGTGTCACTACGGCGCCACTCTTTGCTTTCACAGATCAACTTGGCTCATGCTTTATGCTCAGTCTGCTGCTGCCTTTTATCTACAACGCGTGCGATGATGAATAATGATGATATGCTGGTGATGGATTGATGCTTCTGATAATGATGTTGCTACTGATGATAATTGCTGCTGTTGATAATTATGAATCGTGCTGAAATTTGCTACTGCTGCTGATCATTTCTGATTATGCAGATTGTTGCTGTGAATGATAATTGTTGCTGCTGATGGTGATGATTGCTGTAGTTTATGATAGCTGGTGATGATTGCTGATGATGGAGACTGATGATGATAATGGTTGCTACTAATTATTAATTTTTATTGCTACTGATGATGATTTCTATGGATGATGATGATTGTTGGTGATGATCATGTTTGCTGCGAATAATGATGATTGCTGGTACTGATGATGATATTGATTCATACCTGTCAACCCATCCAGTTTACAAGTATTTTTGTGTAGTGACATATGACGTCACTACTGTATCGGGTCTGTATACACATGACGTCAGTGCTATGTTGGGTCTGTACACACATGACGTCACTGCAATGTTGGGTCTATACACGTGACGTCACTGCCTGTCCGGTATGGAGGCTGTTGATGGGTGCCACGGGGGTTGTGTCAGGCCGTGACACTCCGAGTGACCCCGGCTGGACACGTGACTGGATCAGGAGGGGGCCAGGGGCCCTGGGGGACCCTGGGGGTCACGTGGTCGGGGAGTGGAGCCTTCTCGTGGGTTCGAGAAGGAGGGCGTGGCCAGGGTGTGGCCAGCCACGCCAGAGAGGTTTATAAGCGGGCTCAGCGCAGAGAGCTGGGTTGTGAAGACTTTGAAGGAAGAAGCCTCCAGCCATCGTGGCCAAGCAGAAGCCCTCCTGGCTTGGCCACGCCAAGTAGTACCCGAGTGTTAGCGGGAGTATGACGGTGGTCACCACCTTATGTGTAGGGTGTGTTACAGTTGTGTTGCAGTTGTGTTAAATAAATAGTGTTGCCTCCACACGAGTGTGTGCGCCTCTATTGATCCATTACACTTGTACAGGGACATTTAGTTTTCAGGTCCGTACGGCGTACAGCCGTCTCAATAAGGTCAATATTTTTTGTCAATTTGTTCGTGTTTCAAAGTCGGTATGCACTGCTGTAGTGATGGCAGGTGCCACCACAGTCAGTATGCACTGCTGTAATCATAGCAGGTACCACCACAAGCGGGATGCACTGCTCTAGTGATAGCAGGAACCACCATAGTCGGTATGCACTGCTGTCGTGAAAGCAGGTGCCACTACAGTGTGTATGCACTGCTGCAGTTAAAGCAGGTACCACCAAAGTCAGTATGCACTGCTGTAGTCATAGCAGGTGCCACCACAGTCAGTATGCACTGCTGTAGTGATAGCAGGTACCACCACAGTCAGTAGGCACTGCTGTAGTGATAGCAGGAACCATCAAAGTCGGTATGCACTGCTGTAGTGAAAACAGTTACCACCACAGTCAGTATGCACTGCTGTAGTGAAAGCAGGTGCCACCACAGTCGGTATGCACTGCTGAATTGATAGCAGGAACCATCAAAGTCGGTATGCACTGCTGTAGTTAAAGCAAGTACCACCACAGTCAGTATGCACTGCTGTAGTTAAAGCAGGTACAACCAGAGTCGGTATGCACTATTGTAGTGATAGTAGATACTGCTATCGAGTTGGTAGATACTACTATACAGTTAGTAGATACTACTACAGTCAATAGCTACTAGAGTCAGTAGATACTGCTATAGAGTTAGTAGTTACTACTATAATCAGTGGATACTACTATAGTCAGCAGATACTACTATAAAGATAGTACTGTAGTTACTATCTTGATTTGAAGCTTTCGTGACTGCAGGGATCCATACTCTTTGATTCTTTCGGTAAAGTCACGTAGGTATAAAATACTACTATAGAGTCGGTAAATACTCTGTAGGGCCAATAAATGCTACTACTACGGTAATTCGTTACTGCTACAGTTAGTAAATACTACTAAACAGTCAGTAGCTACTACTGGCTCAGTAGATACTACTTTACAGTCAGTAGATACAACTACAGAGTCAACAGATACTACTTTGTTGTATGTAGGGTGTGTAGGTATATATACCTATGTGGGAGTAAAGATATTTTTGAGGTGGGGGGGGGGTCGACAATTTTCGGAAACCTTTTAGATCAACTATTTACCCCCCACTTTCTATAACTTTTTGGACTTGTGCAAGCCTCTTATAATTGTGTTGGTGGAGAAATGGACAAACGGCCTACCGGGCTTTCACAATACCTTAGCATCTGTGTATGTATAGGTAAGCTTTTTAAGAGAAGTTTTGAAATATATTTTTCGCCCGAGCAGCGCCGGGTACTTCCCGCGATTACATATATATAAACCTTGCTAATAAAAATTTGCGATGCAATGAACAATTAATTTTGGCGAATTAACTCCCATGAACCGCATAGCCGGGGCGGGGGGGGGGGCATGGGGGGGCATGGGTTGAGGGGCATGGGGAGTATGGGGGGGCATGGCGTGGGCATGGGGGTGGGATATGGGGGGGCATGGGGGGGGCATTGTGGGGGGGGGGGGCATGGGGGGTATGGGGGGGCCCGGGGTGGGACATGGGGGGGCATGGGGGGGCATTGTGGGGGGGGGCATGGGGGGTATGGGGGGGCCCGGGGTGGGACATGGGGGGGCATGGGGGGGGGCATGGGGGTGGGGGCATGGTGGGAGGGGGGGGGCATGGTGGGAGGGGGGGGGCATGGTGGGAGGGGGGGGGCATGGTGGGAGGGGGGGGGCATGGTGGGAGGGGGGGGGGCATGGTGGGAGGGGGGGGCATGGTGGGAGGGGGGGGCATGGTGGGAGGGGGGGGGCATGGTGGGAGGGGGGGGGCGGACACCCGAGCGAGCAAATTGCAGGTCTGCTCCTCTGTGTGGCCACGTGCGTCGCGACGTCATCGCCGACACGGAAGCGGCCCCCGCGAAGGCGATGGCCGCCCACGTTGGCCGCTCCGCGCTCCGCCGCGGCTGCTGCTGCCGCTGCCCTCCCCGCCGCGGCCTCCCTCTCCTCCTCGTCTCCTCGCCCGGGCCGCGCTGCCCTCGTCTGCCCAGGTACTTGGCTGTGCCCCCCCCCAACTCCCTAGGGGCAGCGACAACCGCCTCGAGGAGGGGTTCCGTGCGAGGCGACGCGCGGTGACCACGAGTTCAAGGTGGCATTGGAGACGTCCACGTGCGTGTGTGGTTGTGTGTACGGTACACATACACCACACACACACCACACACGCGTGTGTGTAATGTGTACGGTACACACACACCACACACACACACCACACACGCGTGTGTGTAGTGTGTACTGTACACACACACCACACACACACCACACACACGTGTGTGTGTAGTGTGTACGGTACACATACACCAGACACACACACACCACACACACCACACACACACCACACACACCACACACGCGTGTGTGTAATGTGTACGGTACACACATACCACACCACACACACACACCACACACACGTGTGTGTGTAGTGTGTACGGTACACATACACCAGACACACACACACCACACACACACACCACACACACTCGTGTGTGTGTGTGTAGTGTGTACGGTACACATACACCACACACACACACGTGTGTGTCTGGTGTATGTGTACGGTACACACACACCACACAACCACACACGCGTGTGTACAGTGTGTACAGTACACACACCACCACACGCACAAATGCGTGTGTACAGTGTGTAGCGTGTGTACAGTGTGTAGGGTACACACCACACAACCACACACACGTGTGTGTACAGTGTGTACGGTACACACACACACACCGCACACACACCGCGCACGTGTGCGCGGTGTGTGTACGGTACAAATCGCGCATACACACACGAGGGGTTGGTGGGTCACACACGAATGTTGCGAAACTCCCTTCCCGTGGGCGTCGAGGGGGTGCTGCGCGCTCGCCTTTCAGCACCCCCCCCCACTCTCTCTCCCCCTGTCTCTGCCCCCTCCCCCCATTGTCTAACGCACTCGCTTCAACACATTCTCCTGCGGGGGGGAGCTGGTAGGAACGTTAGGCTGCTCGGTCAATGGCCAGAGTCAACAACGGCGGCACCACGTGGTGTATTCCGCACAATATGCCCCACTGTGAGGGCGGGCACAAGCCGGCGTGAGTAGGTTAAACGTTGAGTTTTATAAGGGCACCACGGGGTGACCAGCCCCTCCCCACCCAGCCCCACCCCTCCCACCCCTCTCCTACCCAACCCCACCCCTCCCATTTTTGGATGCACGACGGACGGACGGACACAATAATCCCCTGTGGGCTGCTGGTGTAATAACCAGGAGGTTCCTACTACCACTACTTGCACTACTTGCGGTGCTTTGCTCCTACGCCTGCGCTGGCTGCCCCGCCCATGCAGCTTACGATGCCGCAGAGCTTTGCTCTATGTCACTCCCTTTGGTACTTTCGGTAAAGTCACGTAGGTAGACAAATAATAGAACACGACGTTTCGATCGCAACACACAAGCTGTCGTCATCAGGTGGGACAACCACGGCAAGAAAAACACCGCTGCTGTGGTTGTCCCACCCGATGACGGTTGCTTGTGTGTTGCGATCGAAACGTCGTGTGTTCTGTTATTTTTCTACCCACGTGACTTTACCGAAAGAACCAAAGCGTGTGGATTCCTGCAGTCACGAAAGCTTCAAATCAGCTTTGCTCACTTTGAAAGCCATTATAAGCAGCTGCATTTGGAGGCTTGCCCCCCTCTTTTCTCTCCGCCTCATGAAGACCGCTTGTGTTGCGACCGAAACGTCGTGGGTTTTGTGCTTTTATTATTTTCAAATTTTAAATTGTATTTAATTTTATTATTTCACATTTTATTTGTTATCCACGTGACTTTTTACCGAAAGAACCAAGAATATGAATTCCTGCAGTCACGAAAGTTTTAGGTCAAGATGCAATGTGCATTGTCTGTGCACCCTACACCGCGTACAGTTGAGCCATTGTGCTGTCGGCAGATCTCAGAGCGAAATGTGTAATGGATATAGATCGCGTACAGTTGTCACCGCACGGCAGCCCTTTTGATACTCAAATAAAAAGGTCTCAAACTAAAGCGGTCGTAAAGGTAATCGGGTCATCAACTTACTTGTTGTGCTGCCATCAACAGGCCCCTCGCTGACCTGGACTCTTTAAATAGCGAGGAAGGGCAACTCTGAGTTACCCAAGAAACCCCACGCGCGTACTGGGGAACAACGCACAAACAACAATCCATACACGGTAGATCAGCATCCTACTTGCTGTACCGCTATCTGCTGGCCACCTTACGGCCCAGTAGGTTGGGCTTCTTACGTCATTGATCTTGGGGAGATCCACGAACCCCACCTCCCAAGGTGCCGGTGTGCAGGTATGTGCGGCTGCTAGGGTTGCAACCCCAAGGTGTCAACGGGTGAAACTGCATTTTAAATGTATTGGCTTGAGTGGTGGATTACTGCACAAGTAGGTCAGGTAGCAACCATCTCCACCACACCTGGGCAGATGTTGGATTGCAGCTGGAGATTGTGTCTCATCGCGTGACTTGGTTAGAGCTGGGCTCTCCTGTAATTCAAGTAATCAATGACCAATTATCAGTTCGATTACTCGACTAAATCAGACAATTTGAAAGTAGTCTGAGAACAAAAATCTCTGTTCCCACGTGTTCTGCTGGACAAGGAGGTGATGGGCAGGGCTTTGTGACATTGTCAGCCACGTCACTCTGGTGTTGGCTTGTAGGGGTTTCCCTGCTTTCAATGCAGGGAGGCCCCACTATTAAAAAAAAAGTGTCCAAATAATTCACGAAAAAAATGAGTAAATTTTGACTCGGTTAATTGACTGAATGAACCAGTCTTCCCAGCTCCAGATTAATTTAAAATTATGTTGATGTTTTTAAGCAGACCGGGATTCTTGGTGCCTTCGAGGAGCATCACATCAGCTGACAAGGACCTCGCCAGTGCCGTCATGTCCAAGACCAAGAAAGCGAACACCAGATATGAGGATTTCCTGCTCCGCAATTTCCCCAACTTCTACAGACTCTATTCCACCTTCATGAGAGGTAAGTGCCATCGCGTAATGTTTTTTTACCTACCATTTGATAAAACTAAAGGAAAAGGATTTCTGTGTTGCTGCTCCACGTTTCTGGAATACCCTTGCCACCCCATATCCAGCTTGGTTACCTCTCTTCATTTTTTTATTTCCTTATCAGACCAAAACACAGAGTATACTAACTAATCTTGGACAAAACCACATACAATAACAAAATTCAGAACCTACTTAATGATGGTAGCTATACAAAAATTTTAAGAGATCCCACCAACAGCCTTGTTACGAAAACCAACATCATCACCGATTCGACATCTTTAATCGAACTAACCAAGTGGTTCTCCTTAAAACCTTCTGCTGCTAGACCACCCAGATTGTATGGCTTACCAAAAATCCATGAAGAGGGTACACCCCTTCGTCCTATCGTCTCCACCATTGACTCACCCACCTACAAACTGACCCGATTTCTGTCTGAGACCTTACCACCATTCACCGGTAAGACCACCTCAGCTGTACTTAACTCAGCTCACTTGGTATCGTTAATTAAGGACATCTCACTATCTCCAGGTGATTTGCTCATTAGTTTCGATGTAGGCTCTTTGTTTACCAAAGTTCCCATGCATGACACCATTGCAATCATTGAAGACTTGGTCCAACAAGGACTGAATGCTGATGTACTGGCCCTGGTGAGACATTGCTTCACCAACACTTACTTCACCTGGAATGGAACTTTCTACAAACAAGTTGAAGGTACCCCAATGGGTTCTCCCTAATCCAGTTGTAGCCAATGTTTTAATGGGAAAATTTGAGACAGATGCCATCCAGGCATCCACTCTACGTCCGTCCTTGTGGAAGAGGTACGTAGATGACACGTTCGTCATCTGGCCACATGGCTGACCAGCTCTGCTCTGAACCAATTCTTCAACCACATCAATTCCATACACCCAGCCATCAAATTCACCATGGAGGTGGAAAAGGATGGCAAGCTACCATTCTTTGATGTTTTAATCGAAAGGAGACCAGATGGCTCAATGGGACACTGTCTACAGGAAAGCCACCCGTATGGATGCATATCTAAAACCTGACTCCCACCACCATCCTTCCCAGAAGAATTCCTTCATCAAAACTCTACACCATAGAGCTCGATGTATTTCCGACCATCATCACCCAGCCAGTGAACTGGAACACGTACACCAAGCTCTCAAGACAAATGGATATTTAGACTGCACAATCCGTAAAGCTATCACCTCAACCATTGGGAAAGAACCATCTGAGGACCCAATCAAAACCATCACCTTGCCATACATAGCTGGGGTCACCAAAAAGATCTCCAAAATCATGAGCAAACACAAGATCCAGGTTCGATTTAACACAGTATATAAAATTTGTGATCTGATCCCATCTGTGAAAGATGTGATCCCTGACATGCAATACCCCGGCGTCTACAAACTAAGCTGTGTCTGCGGCAATAGTTACATTGGGGAAACTAAGCGACATGTCTCGGACCATGTCCGTGAACATAAGGCAGATCTGAAACAGGGTAGGACCAATACCTCGGCCTTGGCTGATCATTGTTTTAACGCGGTGGGCTCACACGAAAATGAATTATCTAAGACGAAGGTATTTTACAAACCCACTGGCTATCAACAAAGATTCGTTCATGAAGCCATCCACATATACAGACACAATTTCAATCGAGAAGATGGGTATAAACTGAGAAATAATTGGAAAGACATTATCAATCAGTTTAAGTCATAAGTGGCTGTGATGTTCCCATCCTACCACCTTCTGATGTTAGTTGTTATTTTCGGCTCTCTGATTTTACATTAGCAAGTAAAATTTCCCACACTAACACGGCCACCTCGCTCACCGAGCTCGACGTTGTTGCTCTCCGATCTCACGTTAACATGCTCATCCCTCACATTAACATGCTCATCCCTCACATCAACATGCTCATCTCTCACATTAACATGCTCATCTCTCACATCAACATGCTCACCTCTCACATTAACATGCTCATCCCTCACATTAACATGCTCATCCCTCACATTAACATGCACATCCCTCACATTAACATGCTCATCTCTCACATTAACACGCTCATCCCTCACATTAACATGCTCATCCCTCACATTAACATGCTCATCTCTCACATTAACATGCTCATCTCTCACATTAACATGCTCATCCCTCACATTAACATGCTCATCTCTCACATTAACATGCTCATCTCTCACATTAACATGCTCATCTCTCACATTAACATGCTCATCTCTCACATTAACACGCTCATCTCTCACATTAACATGCTCATCTCTCACATTAACACGCTCATCTCTCACATTAACATGCTCATCTCTCACATTAACACGCTCATCTCTCACATTAACACGCTCATCTCTCACATTAACATGCTCATCTCTCACATTAACACGCTCATCCCTCACATTAACATGCTCATCCCTCATATTAACATGCTCATCTCTCACATTGACATGCTGATCTCTCACATTAACATGCTCATCCCTCACATTAACACGCTCATCTCTCACATTAACATGCTCATCTCTCACATTAACATGCTCATCCCTCACATTAACATGCTCATGTCTCACATTAACACGCTCATCTCTCACATTAACATGCTCATCCCTCACATTAACATGCTCATCTCTCACATTAACATGCTCATCTCTCACATTAACATGCTCATCTCTCACATTAACATGCTCATCTCTCACATTAACATGCTCATCTCTCACATTAACATGCTCATCTCTCACATTAACATGCTCATCTCTCACATTAACATGCTCATCCCTCACATTAACACGCTCATCTCTCACATTGACATGCTCATCTCTCACATTAACATGCTCATCCCTCACATTAACATGCTCATCCCTCACATTAACATGCTCATGTCTCACATTAACACGCTCATCTCTCACATCAACATGCTCATCTCTCACATTAACATGCTCATCCCTCACATTAACATGCTCATCTCTCACATTAACATGCTCATCTCTCACATTAACATGCTCATCCCTCACATTAACATGCTCATCCCTCACATTAACATGCTCATCCCTCACATTAACATGCTCATCTCTCACATCAACATGCTCACCTCTCACATCAACATGCTCACCTCTCACATTAACACGCTCATCTCTCACATCAACATGCTCATCCCTCACATCAACATGCTCATCTCTCACATTAACATGCTCATCTCTCACATCAACATGCTCACCTCTCACATTAACATGCTCATGTCTCACATTAACATGCTCATCTCTCACATTAACATGCTCATCTCTCACATTAACATGCTCATCCCTCACATTAACATGCTCATCCCTCACATTAACATGCTCATGTCTCACATTAACACGCTCATCTCTCACATCAACATGCTCATCTCTCACATTAACATGCTCATCCCTCACATTAACATGCTCATCTCTCACATTAACATGCTCATCTCTCACATTAACATGCTCATCCCTCACATTAACATGCTCATCCCTCACATTAACATGCTCATCCCTCACATTAACATGCTCATCTCTCACATCAACATGCTCACCTCTCACATTAACATGCTCATCTCTCACATTAACATGCTCATCCCTCACATTAACACGCTCATCCCTCACATTAACATGCTCATCTCTCACATTAACATGCTCATCTCTCACATTAACATGCTCATCCCTCACATTAACATGCTCACCTCTCACATTAACATGCTCATCTCTCACATTAACATGCTCATCCCTCACATTAACACGCTCATCTCTCACATTAACATGCTCATCTCTCACATTAACATGCTCATCCCTCACATTAACATGCTCATGTCTCACATTAACACGCTCATCTCTCACATTAACATGCTCATCCCTCACATTAACACGCTCATCTCTCACATTAACATGCTCATCTCTCACATTAACATGCTCATCCCTCACATTAACATGCTCATCTCTCACATTAACACGCTCATCTCTCACATTAACATGCTCATGTCTCACATTAACACGCTCATCTCTCACATGAACATGCTCATCTCTCACATTAACATGCTCATCCCTCACATTAACATGCTCATCTCTCACATTAACATGCTCATCCCTCACATTAACATGCTCATCTCTCACATTAACATGCTAATCTCTCACATTAACATAACTAGCCCCACCCACTTCCTTTATGACCCTTGGGCTACACCCATTTTTAACCTTCAAAACAGTCTGCATCAGCAGCTTTTCCCTTCTCTTTTTCCCTCCTAATGACGATCGCTTGTGTAGTGATCGAAATGCCATAGTTTTTTGTCATTTTCTCTGAATCTATCTACGTGACTTTACCGAAATTCCCAAAGAATATTACTAACACATGTGCCTAACTTTTTCTGGCACCTCAAATTTGTTCTAAGTGTTGTCTGCTTATGTTTTGTCTTGGTTGAAATAATTCAAGGTTTCCGTTTGCTGATGGTGGATGCAAAAGAAGTGTTTTCAATCAAGATGAAGCTGAGTTCCCAAGGGTTTGGTTATGAAAACCTCACCTACAGAGATATGGACAAACTGAGAGAGGTATGGAACTATAAATAATTGTACAACAATAACAGAACAGTGTATTTCTTCGTCTGGAAGAGCATCACAGTCCCAAGACTCTTTCAGCAGGCTTCTGCATCCCAGTACCTAGAAAAATAACCCACGCATACAAAGGCAGAGCACGAGGATCGCTACTTTTGAATTCAACAATGTATGGATAGAGATCGTGTACAATTAGTGATGTGCTTCAAGGTCCGAATATATGTCCTGGCAAGCAGGTGTTTGGAACAATAGTCTCAAATCACAAAAGCTATTTAAAGAGACAGCTGAGGAGACCCAACTGACATGCGTGCTTTTCATACTATTTATGGATGAGGGGCTAACCTATATTCAATAACCAACACTTACTGCTCCATAATGTATAAGAGCCACCACCTACTCCATGATAAAGTACTGTGAGGAACAACGCCACTGAAAGATATCTACTGATAGGTCCGTATCTTGCTTGCTGTACTACCTCGGCAGCCCAATTGTCTGAACGCGACATCATTTCTGTGTGATCCACAAACTCCCACCACCAGAGCGCTTGATTACAGTTACGCATCGGCTATAGTTTTAACAAGTGTGTGTTTCGATGTCAGAATACATTGTTTTACTTATTCGACCTCATCTAGGAAAGCCACACAGAGTTTTAGGACTCTTTTTTTAACATTGGGTTTTCATTGTAAGATGTTTTCATCCTATCCTAGCGCACCCAAAAAAAACCCCACGCCTTGCACGAGGGAGCAATATTATCCCCGTGTAGATGGAAACAGGTGGCGATTAGTCTACTTTCTGTACCGCCGCCTTTAGGCGAGCCAGTGTATGGCACCTCGACGCCCACATAAAGGGAGTTTCACAACACCTGTCTGCGATCTACCAACCCTCAATGCCTCCTGGATCACAGGCCATGTGCATAGCCACCATCGCCCAGAAAGTGGAGTACCTTGATAAAACTCACACATGAGGGAAAATACTCACGCACACACAAGGAAACATGCAAGCTCATCTACAAATGTTTATACCAATCTGCACCATCCTGTCTGGCATGGCGTCATACCTTTTTTTAGCCACCGCTAGTCGCCATTGACTCCGATCAGCAGCACTCGGTGGTGACCTAAATGCCTCGCGCTCCAAGGCATTGAGATACAGGCCCTGCAGTGTTGCGGTGTCCTGCCCATCTACTCACGGTTGCTAAGCACAGGGCCCAAAGGCCCCGCAGCGCCAAGCAACCAGCAACAAATAGCACTGAAACGCAACAATGTTATAACAATGTGAGGTCATGCCAAAGTGGGGCAGTGCATTGAAAGATGCTTAAAGAGAAGTGTTTTGACCTGCGGTTTGCGGCGGTTGAACACCGTATGGATGAGACAAAGCGGTCAGTCTAATAGACCGAATCCTCAACACGGGTCTGTTTTGTGCCTCCTCTGTGTCACCGTCTGACAGTTCCGCAGGGACATCATTAAGGCGATTCCTCTCGTGTTGCTGTCCATTCCTCCGTTCGCCAATTACGCGGTGTTTGCGCTCATGTGAGTTCCCGTGCGACGACACCCCGCTCTTTAACGTCACGTACGCAAACAGCCCTTTTGTCAATCCACTGTCGGATGAGGGCCGCCCGAAAAAATTTCTGGGTTTTTTTTTAAATCGTAATTCGCCATGCTGGTCAGTACGAGTTGGTGAAGACAGGGAGCATAGACGTTGGACCATGGTGTACAGTACAACAATTAATTTTCCTGCACTGCCCTCCACCAATTACTTAGCCCGGCAGCAGCACCTGTTACGTGCATGGTGATCACCTATTTCAAACACTGTCCAGGCTCAGCCCGGTTTAGCTTCCATGTTATGATGCATTCCTGGGCGATTTCATGATGGGCTCTTGTAACATCTTGCGTTGTCGTAAATTAACTTGTTATAGGCTTTGCTTTAATCACCCAATTGAAAAAAACAAGGGTTTCCTTTGCAAGTGGCAGTTTGGTCTTTCAGAGCAATGTAGCCCATGAGCGTTGTTAAAACTAGGGCCGTGCAACCTTTTTAGGAACACGCGTCGCCTTGGGAATCCCCCAGCTCCTCGCCGATCGAGAGAATCACGTGAAAACTCTGTTGTCGCGACGTCACGTACGCGAATTTGACGGGCAAGACTGCCAACAAAAAGGTCTTCTTACGTGTTTTTAAACGTGACGGCATGCCACACGCTGCCAGAGTGAGCATCCTCGCTAGCACAGTGAAGGCTGCCTTGATGCAGTGGCATAGCTATCGAGTGCAATTGGGGCCCACTGGCCAGAGGGGCCCTGGCGCCGGACGACAAGGAGGCGGGGGCGGGGGGGGGGGGTGAATTTAACAGGGGGCAGAATTTCCTTCATTGCAGTGGGGCCTGTCCCAACCATGCTGCGCCACTGCCTTGATGGGCTGACTTGGTAGCTTTTTTTTTTTTTACCGTCATTCCTGCTCGTGATGTCCTCCCGGCCCTGAGGCTCAATGCTTCCGTCGTCAGGCGTCGCCCCCGGCGGTAACTCGTGAGCCGTGCCGCGCGCTCCGCAGGTACATCTACCCCAGGCAGTTCCTGATCCGCCAGTTCTGGAGCGAGCAGCAGGAGCGTGAGTTCCTGCAGGTGTACCACGACCTCCGTGCTGCTTCGTACGCGCACGTCATCCCGTTACTGCTCACCCAGGCCCAGGAGCTGCCCGACACCTACAAGCAGAGGACGCTGCTCGAGATTTGCCACAAGGTGCGCGCACGCGTCAGACGCACGTTGTGACGCCGTCACACGGTGCGGCATCATCTCGCCACATTGCCGCGTTACATGTTTGCGTGCGTGTGTGTGTGTGTGTGTGCGCGCGCTAGCATATCGGTTAGCGCACTCTGCTACGAACCGAGCGACCTAAGTTCGATTACCGCTCGTGACCAAACATATTTCCGAATATTTCGTCCGGCCCTGGGTCTTCTCTAGGTTGACTCGCCACATTGGCGAGATGTTAAGTACCTCGCCTGGTATGCAAGAGGTTGTGGGTTCGATCCCGACCTCAACGTCGCGCGTTTAGACTGTTTGGCTGCTATAAATGTCCACATGATAGGCCACTTCGTTCAGCTATCAGTTGTGGCCAGGTTGCTTCTGAAAAAGAGATTTATAGGTCAGTGGGATTAACCTGGTTAATATAGAAAATAGTAAATCGTTAAAAAAATAAGTAGTAAATGATGCATTGTGCCGTGTGTAAACATCAGCACTGGGGAGACAAAGGCGGTTGGTTGTGTGTCGTGCCGGCCGTCATAGTTGTTTACTTACAGCACTTGCCCCAACAGTTTGTTTAAGCTATATGGGGGATTTTAAATTTTGATTTAAAGCTTTCGCGACTGCTGGGATTCATATTCTTGGTTCTTTCGGTAAAGTCACGTAGAAGGGAAATAATACATTTTTTAATAAAATATGTATAAAAAACAATAACATATATATTTTTGTATTATTTTATTGTTTCCCTTCTACGTGACTTTACCGAAAGAGCCAAGAATATATGGGGGATCTTTGTTTTTTTGTGTGGTGGCACAGCTGTTTGAGCTTCTGAACTACAAACTCGGCAACCCAAATTCGATTCTGAGTCACATGCTGACATTGGTGGCGATTATCTGAACACATCCTGGGCCTTCCCTAGGTCGCTTGTAATTTGTTGCTGTACTTTATTTCATTGTTTTGTTTTTATGATTTTTTGACCCAGGTCACTCTTGCAAAAGAGACCACTTTGCTCTCGTGAGTTCTCACATCGTTGACCAAATAAACCTTGAACTTAACGTGCCTCGTGACGTCGCCTACGTCGTGCGGCTCGAAGTGGAACGCTGTTGACGGATTAAAATACTTCTGAGGACAAAAGTGGACGTTGGGGAGCGGTACCGAATCCGCTCACATGCGAGGTTTGCCTTCCTTGTTTTGGTCTCGCAGCGAACTGCTCCTTCATGTTCATTGACTCGGCTGTGCTCTTGCTCTGCAGGTGCAGACCAACGGGCAGCCCAGCGTGAACGAACTCCGGTCGGTACAGGCCCTCTTCTCTGAGCCTCCCCTAGACATTTGGAGTTTAAAGGCAAATCAGCTGGTAAGCTACTGTGTATGTGTGTGTGTAGCGACTGACTTTATGTGTGTGTGTGTAGCAACCGGCTGTATTTGTGTCTGTGTGTGACCAGCTGTGTGTGTCTACAGTGACCAGCTGTGTGTGTGTGTGTAGTGACTGGCTGTGTGTGTGTAGTGACCGGCTATGTCTGTGTAGTGACCGGCTGTGTGTGTGTAGTGACCGGCTGTGTGTGTGTGTGTGTATAGTGACCGGCTGTGTGTGTGTGTATAGTGACCGGTTGTGTGTGTGTCTAGTGACCGGCTGTGTGTGTGTAGTGACCAGCTGTGTGTGTGTGTCTAGTGACTGGCTCTGTGTGTGTGTATTGACCGGCTGTTTGTGTGTGTGTAGTGACCAGCTGTGTGTGTATAGTGACCCGCTGTGTGTGTGTGTAGTGACCAGCTGTGTGTGTGTGTAGTGACTGGCTGTGTGTGTGTGTGTAGTGACTGGCTGTGTGTGTGTGTAGTGACCGGCTGTGTGTGTGTGTGTGTGTAGTGACCGGCTGTGTGTGTAGTGACTGGCTGCGTGTGTGTGTGTGTGTAGTGACTTGCGGAGCCCCAGTGCGGTTTCAGGAAAGGGCGGTCCTGCACAGATGCCATATTTTCTGTCCGTCTGCTACAGCAGAGGTGTAGGGAATTCCAACAAGACCTACATCTCTGCTTTATTGACCTGGTCAAGGCCTATCATACCATCAGTAGGCCTGGGCTCTGGGTTGTTCTTCGTGCTTTTGGATTACCTGACCCTCTGCTCACGATCATTAAAGACCTTCATGATGGTGAGCGGGCCTGGGTAAAAATACGTGGCCGGGAGTCAGAGCCATTCCCTGTACACCTTGGGGTGCGACAGGGATGTCCTCTGGCTCCCACATTATTTAACATCTATTTTGACCACGTAGTTCGTGAAGCCTTCAATAGCTGTACCGGGGGAATCTCCATATGGTACAGATATAATGGGAGGCTGATCGATGCCCGGGTGCGGTCAAGGGATGGCTCCCTATTGCTCAACCACGTTATGTATGCTGATGATTTGGTAATAGCTGCTCATTCAGAGGAAGAGTTGGAGACGCTGCTGCTGAGACTGGAGCGTGCCACTAAGAGGTGGGGCCTTACCATCAGCCCCACCAAAACTAAGCACCTGCCTGGGTATTTTGTACCATCGGACACTCCACCCCCACAACTCCCAATCGGTGATGGTGCAGTTGTGAAGAGAGTGGAGAGTTCCCCATACCTGGGCAGTGTGCTTATGACCGGCCCCAGTTTAACAGCAAGGTCTCACTCCAAATCAGTCGAGCGGCAATATCTTTTCATCGGTTGCGTAACGCTGTGTGGAAGCTACCTGGTCTGTCGCTCCGCACTAAGCTTCAGGTCTTCTCGGCCACGGTCATTCCCTCCCTTCTCTACGCTTGCGGAACGTGGACCCCCATAATGGAACATCTTTTCCGGTTAGAAACATTTAGGCTGGCCTGCCTACGATCTATCCTGGGTTTAACCAGACTGGATTGTGTGAGGGGCTCACAAATCCTTGAAAGATCTGGGCAAGGTCCCATCGGTGAGCTCCTCCGGCAGGCAAGGCTGCGATGGCTGGGTCATGTAGCCCGCATGCCCAGCCACCACATGCCGAAACAGCTTTTGTTCAGCCGGATTGAGGGGGCTAAATGGGCGCAGCACGGGCTAGAGAAGAGATGGAGTGATGTGGTACAGGAGGACGTGGAGCTGAGTGGACTTGCCGATGACTGGTACCAGCAGTGTCAAGATCGGCCTCTGTGGAGGAGGCTCGTGAAGGACGCTACTGGGCAGTTGGAGGTAGTCGCCCTCCAACAACAACGGAGGGCGGAGGAGCGACGCTCACAACAACGAGCGGAGCGCCGGGTGGCTGAAGCACAGCAGATTGGCACAGTAGGGGGCACAGGTGGTGCATCAGCCAATCATCTCAGTCATCTCAGTCAGTCGACCCGTGGCACCTGGGTCTGCCCCGTGACCTCCTGCCAGCGGGCGTTCGACACTTCACGTGGCCTCAGGGTGCACATAGCCTGGCACAAGCGTCGTGGTGACGTCACCGCCACTTAGTGGTGAATGGCGGTTGTTGTTGTGTAGTGACTGGCTGCGTGTGTGTGTAGTGACTGACTGCGTGTGTGTGTCTAGTGACTGGTTGTGTGTGTGTCTAGTGATCGGCTGTGTGTGTGTGTGTGTGGTGACTGGCTGCGTGTGTGTGTGTGTGTGTAGTGACTGGCTGTGTGTGTGTCTAGTGACTGGCTGCGTGTGTGTGTAGTGATCGGCTGCGTGTGTGTGTGTGTGGTGACTGGCTGCGTGTGTGTGTGTCTAGTGACTGGCTGTGTGTGTGTGTGTGTAGTGACTGGCTGTGTGTGTGTGTAGTGACCAGCGGTGTGTGTCTAGTGACCGGCTGTGTGTGTGTGTGTTGACCGGCTGCGTGTATGTGTCTAGTGATTGGCTCTGTGTGTGTGTAGTGACCAGCTGCGTGTGTGTGTGTGGTGACCGGCTGCGTGTGTGTGTGTGTGTAGTGACCGGCTGCGTGTGTGTGTGTAGTGACCGGCTGCGTGTGTGTGTGTGGTGACTGGCTGTGTGTGTGTGTAGTGACTGGCTGTGTGTGTGTGTAGTGACCGGCTGCGTGTGTGTCTAGTGATTGGCTCTGTGTGTGTGTGTAGTGACTGACTGTGTGTGTGTGTCTAGTGATTGGCTCTGTGTGTGTGTAGTGACCAGCTGCGTGTGTGTCTAGTAATTGGCTCTGTGTGTGTGTAGTGACCGGCTGCGTGTGTGTCTAGTGATTGGCTCTGTGTGTGTGTGTAGTGACTGATTGTGTGTGTGTGTCTAGTGATTGGCTCTGTGTGTGTGTAGTGACCAGCTGCGTGTGTGTCTAGTAATTGGCTCTGTGTGTGTGTAGTGACCGGCTGCGTGTGTGTCTAGTGATTGGCTCTGTGTGTGTGCTCACTGTGCCGGGTTTAGAGGACCCTGAGCCGCGTCATGGCGCTCACCGCCCGCGTGCCGGCGCCGTGGCTCCGCCGCCGCCTTCTCTCTCATGCCACGGAAATCGGCCACCTGGACCGCGCGCTCCTGCGGATGGGGCCGCAGCAGCTGACGGACGACGAGGTCAGGAAGGTGAGAGCATAGACTGACGAGGAGGAGGTGTAGGAGTTGGCCACTCTCGCTGCAGCCGAGCAAGGGACGGCGGGGAACACGCGGCTTCCCTCCCGGCGACATTGCTCGTGAACCCGTGGGGTCGCACACGACTCTCGACCGTGCCGGCCAGCGCTCGCATGCGCGATTGGCTGTGTGTGCGGTTGACGGTGTGCGCAGTTGGCTGGGCGTGGTTAATTGACTGTACCGCTACAGAGTTGTCCACACCACACATCGCCGACCTCACCACAAGTTGGCTCAGAGCTTTACCACGTGGTAAGTGGAGATCGTATCTGCGGCGTGTGGTGTGTACATCGTTTATTGCGTTGTGACGGTTTGTATTGCAAACAGGACGAGTAGTACTCTTTGGCTTTATTGGATAAAGTCACGTAGGTAAAATAAAATAAAAGAAAACAATTAAATCACGACGTTTCGGAGGCAACACAAGCTTCCGTCTTCAGGTGGAACAGTCACAGCAGAATATCTGTGTCAAGTGCACAGTTCCGAGACGACTTGGATTATATATAGGTCGGGGGTGGGGGGGAGGAGCCAGAAAGGAACTTGGGCAGGTGGGAGGGCTGAGTTAAGCCGCCTTTTGTTAAACTGTAGGGGGGTTCGGGGGGGAGGGGTGGTGCACTGCACAAAAGCGGGTAAACAACCCTTTTGTTATGCTGCAGGGAGGTTCGGGGGGAGGCGATGCAAGACATCAAGTACAGACCAATTTTTGAAAAAAACTAATATGAAAACTACGAAAATGGCTGTACAATTATAAGGTAGCTGAAGTTTGACATACAGCCACTGAGAAGTGGAAATGGCTGTTATAAATCAAGTCAAACGTTGGCTGCCTTTTAATTGTACAGCCAATTTCGTAGTTTTCATTTGAGTTTTTTTCAAAAATTGGTCTGTACTTGATGTTTTGCATCGCCTCCCCCCGAACCCCACCCCCGACCTATATATAATCCAAGTCGTCTCGGAACTGTGCACTTGACACAGATATTCTGCTGTGACTGTTCCACCTGAAGACGGAAGCTTGTGTTGCCTCCGAAACGTCGTGATTTAATTGTTTTATTTTATTTTACCTACGTGACTTTACCGAATAAAACCAAAGAGTATGAATCCTTGCAGTCACGAAAGCTTCAAATCTAAAAAAAAGGACAAGTAGTGTTGTAAAAACGTGAGGTGTGTGTTTGGTGTACGGACATGGCTTGTGCAATACGTCACGATTGGATGCGATGTGCTGTGGGTGCGACGTGTCGTGAGTGATGCAGTGCTGTACGTTGGGAATGCATAGCAAGCTGCGGCTGCCACCACGTCGCACGTGTGACACACCGTGCCCACAAAGTGCGCGGTGGTCTCATGCCGCGTTGGTACATCTCCCCCGTCTAACCCCCCACCCGTCCCCGCCCCCCGCGTGTGTATCAGGCCTGCTACGTTAGGGGCCTCAACCCGTACATCCTGGGGATCCAGGCGTGCAGGCAGTGGCTCCAGGAGTGGCTGCTGCTGTCGGCATCGCTGTCAGGTACCTCCCCCCGCATCTCCAATTAGCAAGGTTGGCTACGTACGGTCCGAAAAAAGTGCAGCATACATACATGCATACAACGCGTTAACGATCATTTACAGTCCTATGTTAAACCACTACTGAATGAAGCCCTCCCGATCCCATATCATTAATGGGGTTGGTTTGACCATACTTCGTGACACTGTTCAGTGTCTGTTGGTGCTAGGGAAGGCACAGCCGGTTTGAACTTGCATACTTTTATTTATTTGAGGGGGGCCACGGTGTTGTGATGTTATTGTGCTCGCCTGGTATGCAGGAGGTTCGAGAGTTCGATCCCGACCCTGATGCCTGCTGTATATTTGGCGTTTGCATGTCCTCCCCGTAGGCGCGTGGATTCTTTTCTCCGGGTTTTTCCCTCCGCATTTAAAAAAAAACATGCATTTTGATTGTTTAGATTATCTCCACATGATAAGCGACATTGTTGAGCTATAATTTGTGGCCAGGCCACTTCTGAAAAATAAGTTAATAGCTCAGTGGGCTTGATCTCTGGTAAGATAAAAATAGATTCGTTTTATTTGTTTTTTTTAAGTGATTTGTTTACCTTTCCCATACTTTGGACTCTTATAGTATTTTTGTATTTTTTGTTGTTGTAATGTCCTGACCCACCCCCTAATGGACATCTGTGAAAAAGAGCTTTATAGCTCATCGAATTCCTCCAGTATAAATACATCTTCTGATACTCCCAACGCGTTTACGGGATCCATGCGTACGTAATTCTCCGCCGAGCTCATTGCCTTAACGCCACAACTCTTCCCGTTCCGCTTTTTACAGATTCTGAAGTATCCTTGCGCATTTTCGCCACGGTGCTACTTTCGGAGAATTATCGACGGCACAGCATCAGCTACTGGAGCATTCCTGTGGACCCACCAGCACGGAGAGGCCAGGCATAAACGTCTGGATGCTTCTCCTCGCAGCATTTCATCAACTCCATCGCGGTAACTCCCTCGCACCCCGAAGACCCAGGAGTTGACGCTCAGGTTAGCCTCGCCTGAAGATTTCGTGAAGGAAAGCGGTGTGAGAAACGCGCCTGCGTTGTCGTGAATTTGCTGCAAAAAACTATTCGGTATGAAGAGATCTTTGTAGAAATGTGACATTTCTAGCTGCCCGCTTAAACATCGCAGGAACAAATAACATGCGCTTTATTAAAGAAGGATTTCTTCCAGATGCAAATTAAACTGTGATTCATAATGCAGTTAGTTCATAATGAAATAACTTCAACATATGTACATGAGTACAATTTCAATTTCATTTAGTATAACGAAACTAAAAATATGTTTTTATTTTACCATGTAAGGCCTACTGAGCTACGTAGCTCTTTTTCAGAAGCGACCTGGCTATCACAAATGATAGCCCAACGAAGTGGCTTATCACGTGGACATTTATAGCAACCAAATACTCTTAAACGCATGTTTCCAAATGTGGAGGGAAAAACCGGAGGACCCGAAGAAAAATCCATGCAACTACGGGGAGAACATGCGAATTCCAAATATACAGGCATCATGGTCGGGATCAAACCCAAGACCCCCTGTATACTAGGTGAGGCAGTTAACATCTCGCCACTGCGGTGCCCTTGTAAGGGCACTGTGGTGGCGCCCGGTATTTAACTGGGTGGTGGTGGCGGCTATGTACATGGCTGCCTGTAATCCAGCACTGTGGAGGCATCAGCCAGGGTTGGTGAATCACCACACAGATTTTGTGAAACTCCCTTCCCATGGGTGTCGAGGAGAATCCATACTGTGGCTCGCCAGGAGAACCCAGTACAGCAAAGTGTGGACTAAATATCCATCTTTTTTCATTTGTACGGGGGATAGAGCGTTGCCCCTCCCCTCGCACGTATCACGACACAAACACACAGTGGTCACTACACACACACACGGCTGATCACCACACACATAGAGCTTTCTCCGGGTGCTCCGGTTTTCTCTCGCATGTAAACACTCATTAAACGGCTGAAAACATCTTAAGATAAAAATCCAATGGAAGGCAGATCCTCCTGAAAATAATGGAAACTGCCTGTTAGCGGTGGGTTGTTGTAATTCTACTTCTTCCAGGAGAACAAAACACAATGGCAATATTTTCCATCATTTGACAAACATGGACATTACAGTTGTGTACACAAGTGGATCGCCAAGGCTAACATGCCTGCCATCAGACAGACAAATAAAGTTAAGTGTTTCACCTGCTGAAAAGCGAGAAATGTAATGGCACTCATATCTGTTACTGCTAGTGCCCCCTGAGCCAGTAGTGGAATTTCCACATTCATATGGCAGGGACCTGTCTGTCCACAGGGTCCACCGACGTTAAGACGGAGGAAATTTGCACAAAAGCAGATGTGCACGCTCTCTGCGCGCTGCCCAGAGCGTGGAGTTTGCCGACGGAATTCAAATGGGGTGGTCGCCCACGCGGCTGCCGAGTTCAGTGTCGCGCAGCAGCGAGCTCTCATTTCCCACAATGCCCAATGGCGGCGGCTGCGGCGCTGCTCCGAAGCCGGCAGGCCCGTTCGCCCGTTCACCCGTTCGCCCGTTCGCCCGTTCGCCCGTTTGCCCGTTCGCCCGTTCGCCCGTTCGCCCGTTCGCCCGTTCGCCCGTTCGCCTGTTCGCCCGTTCGTCTGTTCGCCCGTTCGCCCGACCGCTCGTGCAACCTCCGCACTTTAGCGGCTCGCGTTTCTCCGTCGTGGAGAAAATACATTTGTGATGCGAGCACGCGTGCGACGGTGATGGTAAACGCGGATAAAGCTGTACGTCGGGGTGTGTGCACGCGTGCACCGGTGGGCGTTCAATACAGCTGGAAGCTCTCCGTCGTGTTTACAGGTTTGGAGACCTGTACGGCGCAACCGCGAAAAACCTACGCAGTCGTTGCGATTGTCAGCTCTGTGCGATAGATACCACACTGCCTTGTAGCATTGTAATGTGGCCAGTCGGCGATGGTTTTCGTGATGGTTTTGTCGTACAGCCACTGACCGTACACCATTTCCCAAGTGTTCGTTTCACCTTTGACCTTTCACCACTTGCATCTGGTGAGGTTCACCACTGATCCCTCTTAAATAGCGATTTTTGCTCGAATTTGGGGCAAAACCTCAACTTTTTCAAGAGCTGCAATGAAATGTGAATACTACATGGTGGTCCTTAATAAAAATAAGCCTCGGACAGGACGCTTTGTGCTGGCGGCTGCTTCCCTGTGCCAGCAGAGGAAATCCCACACACACCTGTGGTGGGGACCAATGTCTGCGCGTGCTGACCACTGTGGAACGGTTAGCACGCTGCACTGCAAACCAGGGGACTCGAGTTTGATTCTCGCTCACGGTCAACACCAGTGACGATTGTCTGAACCGGTCCTGGGTCTCCCCGAAGGTCGACGCAGCCTCAAATGAGTACCTGACGCGATGTGTAAATGTATCCACTAGGGGGACAAAGGCGGCCGGGCGTGGTGCTGGCCACCCACCCCCTCGTGTGCTGTGCTGGCCTTCATAGGTGCTCGCTAACAGCACCTGCCCCCAACAGTCTGTTCAGGCTATATGGGTGACCTTTGTCTTTGAACTTCCCACAAAGTGGTATTCATTTTACAAGCCCCAAGGGATGATGGGCAAAATTGACTGACCCATGACCGGGATTTTAATTTGCAACTCTTCACGATTGCGAGTCACGTACTCTAACCGGACGCTCATTCAGCAGACAGTAAATTAGAATAGAGTGCAAATAACCAAAAAATAAAAGAGTTCATGTGCAAGCAAAATCCCTATTTAAAATGATACTGCTAAAATATTTTGTAACTAATAGCATCGGTAACATTGTATTTAAGAAAATACTTAATTTAGTAGCAAAGGCCTTTGAATGGCTTTCATCCGAGTCATGAATGCTTGACTTTTCATGCAAATTCCTTTAATAGCCGCTTTGCCGTGTGTTGACAAGGGAGCCTTGCGCTCCGAACGCCTTTCTCTGTCTGACCCTACAGCCATAATACTTCCTCGCGTATCATTTCATCAGCAGCCATGGCCAGCAGCCAGTGCAATCCTACCGATTACACCATCACTTGCTCAGTAATATACTGAGAAAGTGATGGTGCAATCGGTAATGTACTGAGCGACCGTTTAAGCTGTTGGAAGTGCTGAATTGGCACGCACGCCGCGTGTGCTTGTACGAAGCGAACGGCCTTGTTTAGGGCATTGCCAGACATGGCAGGTTGCTGCTGCCTGCTGTAAATACTAGGCTGTGTGGACACACAGCCTAGTATTTACAGCCTATTAAAGGAAAACGCAACCCGCCAAGACGTAAATTGGGTGCCGTTTAATTTTTATTCCGAATTTTTTTTTTTACGAAGCATGGCAATGTGGCATTTTAACTCTGCATCTGCAAAAAAAAACAACCACTGGTTATTCACCTGTATCACACGGGCTCCTGCCTACAGGGCAACGTACCACAATTACAGGTTTCAGATTCCCCTTCCATGTATTGGGTTCCGTTTATTTGGGGCGGCTCGCAAGCGTGCACCCACGGCATCGTGTATTGTAACTGGGGTCCACGGGGCTGTCTGCTTGTGAATGGAAGCGCGGGGACTCGAGCAGTGTGGCTGCGGATTAGCATTGAGGCTGCCACGGATGCTTCACTGTGCAGCTGTGCGGTGCAGCTGTGCGGTGCAGCTATGCGGTGCAGCTATGCGGTGCAGCTATTGTGTGCAAATTAGTCTAGGGCAGGAGTCGGCTACCAAATTTAGAGAAGAGCCATTTATTTTCTAGATTTGAAGCTTTCGTGACTGCAAGAACCATTTTTGTTCGAATTCGGTAAAAAACTATTTCAGGAGCCGCAATGCATGTAAATACGAGACAGTGGTCCTTAATAAACAACGTCACAAAGCGGTCTTTTAAAGAGCCGCAAATTGCCAACCCCTGGTCTAGGGCAAGCGTGACGCTCTCACTGATTTGCCTATGACTAAATCGCCATGAATATGCCTCGCCTCGTCGGATATCAGGATCTTAAGCATGGTGGAGCCTGCTTGATACCTGGATGGGAGACGTACCTTGCAATACAAAGTTGGTATCATAAGCTAGGGCTGTGCGGTGGCTAGGAGATGGCAGTACAGCGGCAGATTCTTGAATCGGTCGGCGCGGAGACTTTGAGTGTTACCCTCTTGTATGCGTAGTTCTACAGTTTCCTCCCACACAAAGTCAAACAGAATTGGCCAAACATCTTCGTGCATCACCCTTCAGAAGAGGAAGCATCTTGAGACTCACCCAAGTCTTTCCTGGGTAAGTAAAATTATTTATACCGAAACTTGCGAAATGGACTTCTGCCTGAAAGTTGCATTTTCACACGAAACAATATCTTCCCTCGCTGGTGAATAATAGAATAGCGGCAGCTTGTAACGCGCTCATTATTCGCTCGCTTTCGTAGAGAGCGTATGACTCTTGGATTCGACGAGGAACCACGGGGAGGGCAGCCAACCTCTGCGGTCCTCTACATATTAAGGTGTTGTTGGCCAAACAATGCGCACTTACATGTGGGAGGAAACCGGAGCAACGGGGAAACAACCCACGCGTGCAAGGTGGCAACACTAAGACAGAACAGGTGGGAGTCCACATTTTCGCTGTACCTTTACTTCTCCTGGCGAGCCAGGGTATTGCACCGCGACGCCTGCAGTGAGGGAAAAAAGTATTTGATCCCCTGCTGATTTTGTACGTTTGCCCACTGACAAAGAAATGATCAGTCTATAATTTTAATGGTAGGTTTTTTTGAACAGTGAGAGACAGAATAACAAAATAATCCAGAAAAACGCATGTCAAAAATGTTATAGATTGATTTGCATTTTAATGAGGGAAATAAGTATTTGGCCCCCTCTCAATCAGAAAGATTTCTGGCTCCCAGGTGTCTTTTATACAGGTAACGAGCTGAGATTAGGAGCACACTCTTAAAGGGATTGTAGACCTACACAAGGCTGGAATGGGCTACAAGACCATTGCCAAGCAGCTTGGTGAGAAGGTGACAACAGTTGGTGCGATTATTCGCAAATGGAAGAAACACAAAAGAACTGTCATTCTCCCTCGGCCTGGGGCTCCATGCAAGATCTCACCTCGTGGAGTTGCAATGATCATGAGAACGGTGAGAAATCAGCCCAGAGCTACACGGGAGGATCTTGTCAATGATCTCAAGGGCAGCTGGGACCATAGTCACCAAGAAAACAATTGGTAACACTACGCCATGGACTGAAATCCTGCAGCACCCGCAAGGTCCCCCTGCTCAAGAAAGCACATATACATGCCCGTCTGAAGTTTGCCAATGAACATCTGAATGATTCAGAGGACAACTGGGTGAAAGTGTTGTGGTCAGATGAGACCAAAATGGAGCTCTTTGGCATAAACTCAACTCGTCGTGTTTGGAGGAGGAGGAATGCTGTCTATGACCCCAAGAACACCATCCCCACCGTCAAACATGGAGGTGGAAACATGCTTTGGGGGTGTTTTTTCTGCTAAGGGGACAGGACAACTTCACCGCATCAAAGGGACGATGGACGGGGCCATGTATCATCAAATCTTGGGTGAGAACCTCCTTCCCTCAGCCAGGGCATTGAAAATGGGTCGTGGATGGGTATTCCAGCATGACAATGACCCAAAACACACGGCCAAAGCAACAGAGGAGTGGCTCAAGAAGAAGCACATTAAGGTCCTGGAGTGGCCTAGCCAGTCTCCAGACCTTAATCCCACAGAAAATCTGTGGAGGGAGCTGAAGGTTTGAGTTGCCAAACGTCAGCCTCGAAACCTTAATGACTTGGAGAAGATCTGCAAAGAAAAGTGGGACGAAATCCCTCCTGAGATGTGTGCAAACCTGGTAGCCAACTACAAGAAACGTCTGACTTATGTGATTGCCAACAAGGGTTTTGCCACCAAGTACTAAGTCATGTTTTGCAGAGGGGTCAAATGCTTATTTCCCTCATTAAAATGCAAATCAATTTATAACATTTTTGACATGCGTTTTTCTGGATTTTTTTTGTTGTTATTCTGTCTCTCACTGTTCAAATAAACCTACCATTAAAATTATAGACTGATCATTTCTTTGTCAGTGGGCAAACGTACAAAATCAGCAGGGGATCAAATACTTTTTTTCCCTCACTGTATGGGTAGAGAGTTTCTCAACATCTGCCTCCACAGTGTTGGATTACAGGCCACGTGCGTCGCCACCTTCGCCTTTGTGTTGAAGAGTGAATCCACTGTAAATGTTGTGGATTCACTCTTCAACACACCGGTGGGCTAAAGCAGTGAACTATTTGTCTTTTGTCAACGTGACACTTTTTTGCTGACTGGCCGTGTCGGGTGGTGGAGGGTTACAACACATTTATAAATAACGCGATCTAACCCAAAAACCTCTTATAAATAATATTGGTCGCGAAAGCCTACGTGTTCAACTGCAACATTTTAGGTGTTTTTGGCTGAATTATTTATCACAGTGTTTTGTTACCGAATTGTAACGTTGGACGTCGATTCATTGTTCCCGAGTTTTTTTGTGCCTGATAATTGCACCTTTTGATCGTATATGGATTCCAATTCACGACGTCCATGTCACCCAGATGACGGTATCAGTTGTATGCACGTATGTTGAAGTTATTTCGCACCGTACGTAGCCAACCATGCTAATATGAGGTACGGGGGGGAAGGACAACATACTAAACACAAAAAAATAGTTCTTAAGAAATGAGTTTTCAATCTATATTTAAAAGTGCATAGCTCCAGTGGCTTCCTAATATAGGAAGGAAAGAGCGTTCCAGACGGTCGCAGAAGTGCATCTGAAAGTGCGCGATGCAGTGACCATCTTTGTTCGATGGCTAGCCAAAAGCCGCTGCTGCGAGGATGACCGGAGTTTTGCGAAATGCTTTACGCTCATTGACGATATCAACAAGGTATTGTGGTTCATTTGTGTTTTTACTGTGAAACAATAACAGGTGACGGGTCGCTACTACACCGCGAGGTTACCGTCTCCCGCCCAACCTCAACATAGGCTTGTCTCTACAATAGAATATAATTGCACCTTCTGAAGGGGGGGGGGAGAGCACGTGTGTAACTTGAGATCCTATTGTGCTCACAATCATTTGAGATCCCCTCCCCCCCGTTCGTGATATTTGATCGCTCCATTCACAGAAACCGACAGCTTGGTGGTACCATGCTCGGCGCTCCGCAGCCTCCGATCCCGGTCGCTAAACGATTCGGCCTATCTTCAAGTGGCCTTTTGTGTTCGAGTGATTAAAAAAATGAGTCGCACTTCGTGGGAAGCCAACAGTCGTTTGCTCGCAGAGCAGTTGACCGCTGTCATGTGAATGTGGAATTTCCACCGCCAGCTTAAGTCTGATGCTCGTTCGAGCGTGGAGACGTGTGATACACAAAGGGGGATGGGGGGGGGGGCACCACACACCATGCACGCATGGCCCCATTTGTCTTCCCAGTGGGGTTTGTTGAGCAACCAAACACCACATTCTCATATCAGGCTGAGTCTACCTAGGAGAAAGCCAAGCCATATTTATATGCTACTGGTGCAAATGTCCATGAATTGAACCCAAGTTTTTGGGCTCAGACGACTAACCACTCCACCACCACCACTCCCCTGCAGTTATGTGTGAACGCGTGTAATCCCTTTGATCATCATGGCAAAAGTGTTACTTGCGAGCCTCTTCTAAGAAGGCCTTCAGTGCACACGAGGTTCCATTTCATTTCATTTATTTGGTGTAGCCCTGTGAGCCATTCGGCTCTTGAATCGGGTGCAACAGCAACAAACAACAAACAAAAAAAAACACGAACAAGAAAAAACATCTTAAAGTGACTGTGACTGTGCAAACAGAACATCCAGGAAAAAAAACCCATCGAAATATTCCTGAAAAAGCACCGTGCACCAACGCTGTGTGCTAAACAAATCCCAGTGGGTACAATGGTTGCCATCCTGATAGCGACTTTAAATAAAAATTCTCATTAACGAAGTTTCACACCCATTTTAGATCAGGTGAAACAGTCCATTTTAGCGTCTAAAAAATAACAGCGGTTCGTCCTGTGCGGGCCGCGTGTGCCCGTTTACGTGAACGCTTCTCAACGATAGCTCCATGCAACTGGTAGTGGGGTAGCCAGAACTATTGCTGCCCGCCTTTGTCTTCCCGTTCCTGATCTTAACACAATGTGGGTTGTACCCGTTTAGGGCTATGTCGATCTATAGAGAAGGCTCACATAGGCTCAGATATCACGTGTAAATTGATGTGTATCATGGCTTGTGATTGAACGCCGGTTTGCCATGATCGTAGCACAGTGCACCAACTACTATGCTATTGAGTTTGATTCCCGGCTGCAACTATCATCATTGGCGAATGGAAGCTGAACTGGTCCTCGACTTCCCCTAGGAGACAAGGACGGTGAGGCATGGTACTGGCTACACCAACCCATTGTGCTCCGTGACAGCTTTAATAGGTGTTCCCAAACCAGCACTTGTATGGGGAGATCTTTGACCGTATGTCGGTATCTTTGTATGTATTGGTCAGCCCTTTCAGTAAGCCTGGGCCTTCCACGAAGTGAACCTAACCTGGCACAAGTCCTGCGGTGACTTCACCACTTCGTGGTGAATGACAGCTGTTGTGTGTTTTTAATTGTTATTGGTGTCTATGTGCGTGTGCCCTGTTAAGGCCGGAGCAGCACTGGAGGAGGGGTGTATTACGGCCAACGTCATGACCAGATGCACAAACACACCGTATGGGGTTGGGGGGGGTGTGGAGGTTATAGTCCCCGTTCTGCCAAAAGAGCATGGATTTCTATCCTGGTGCTGTTATGTTTTATTCCTGCAGTGCATTATGATAGTTTATCCTAGTTTAAAATACCCGTAATTTGGTTGACGTTAATGTCTTGACTAACGAATGTAAGCACTTGGAGTGGCATAACAAAAAATATATGTGCTGTGTTGTGCCTGTCGAATAACCCAAACGTGCGTTGTCATTGCTGCATTGTAATTTACGTGTCCGATACTTGACCTGAATTTAGCATTGTTTTATATGTACTGCGAAAGCCTACTGAACACGTGTCGTGGATTATTTGAACACATCTCCGTCGAAATTCGGTGCCCATTGGCTCAATCGCATTGCTGGGCGGCCTTCACTTCGATTGACGGTCCTGAGCCGACGTGGTGGTAATTCCACATTGTCGTGGCAAGGACCAGTCTCACCGTTGAAAGGCAAGTGCTCTAACGACGGTGGGCGGGTTGTTGTACAGGGTTACCCTGGATGACGTCGTCATTCTACTGGGGTTGTACGACATCGTGATGCTACGACACGGGTCTACGATACAAGGTCCGCAATAATCGCATTCTCCATGTTGCAAAGCATCGCGATTTCATGGTTTATCCCGTGAAATTATATTTTCAAGAAAAACATTTCTGACAATACAAAAGAATCATTAAATTACTTTTAAAAAATCTAAAGCGCTGTTGCCCATGAAATGAGTTGCTTGCGAAACTTTTGTAGAGTAAGTGACAGCGCCGTGTTATACTTTTCCTACGTTATTTCATTCTTAATTTGTTGCATAACTTTACAGTTGTAAGCATTTTTTCTTTTCAAACTTACAATGATTCAAAAGCGTATGGCAGGGCTTATGTTGAGCAAGCTGCAGCTCAAGATCTTCATAAGGATTCTTTATTCGGACCGGAGGTACAAGAAACCACAAGAACTCTAAACAGTAACAATGAGAAATACAGTTTTCAGAGTAATGGGAAACCGATAATCGTTATGGTTGCTAAAATTTCGAGCGTTTCGTGAAAGTGATATCGTGACAACCCTAGTTTTTTGGTGTATTGAGCACTCGTTTTTATTATTTCCCCAAGTCGGTCATCTCGTAGCAACTCGTTTTAACCATGTGTTTAATTCACGCCAGGGGTGTTAAATGCGGGCCACACATGGTCCCCCAAGCCCCTTCCTCCAGCCTGCCACGTGTTAAAATTGTTATGACTTATCTATATATACATATTTGAAATAATTTTACCTAAATTCAACCCGAATTCAAACCAGACATTGAAACGGGAGGATTTGGCGTGGCCCTGCTGCCAAAACATACATCAACTCCCCTGTTCCCGCGCTTTCGGATTTTGAATCGATAAAAAAAATACCGTATAATTATGCTATGAATTATCATAGGCCCAACTGTGTGGCCCGCGGGAGGTGCGCTTGAATACAATTCGAGTTTGACACCGCCCTGGTTTACGCCTTGACGCCAGCTAGGCGCAACGAAGGCAGCTCTTGTTCCACTTGCCTCTCTCACTCGAACCGCGCGTATTGCTCACTGGCTCGACAGCCGCGCACTTCGTCGGCAAATTTCACGCGCGCACCCGAGCGACTTGTACTAAAACCTCCCTCGTGCACACTTTTTGTTCATGGAACGCATGCCACTTATAATTTATGAATCTTCCGCGTGATCATTATATTGTATTGTAAGTAGGCAAAAATAATGTTAGAAATAAAGGTGCTTGGCGGAAAATGGAAGGGTTGCTTTCTTGCCGTGCAAATGTTTGTGCTGCATTATTGCGCTCGTGAGCAATTGGGATGGGTGCCCGTCTGCTGGATACAGTTTTGAACCAATCATGGAAGTTCCATATTCCTCTGACAGAGGCGAGTCTACCTTCAGGACGACCTATATTGACCTCCGGCAAATCGGTATACATTTTGTTGATCGCAAGGTGGCAAAAGGGCTACATGGAACCCGGACTGGACTTTGGGCTTATGACCTTCCTATTCACGCGGTGGAAGGGGTCGCTTATTTAACTTCTGCTGCCCCCGATGTCTGGAACTTCCTTCCCCCAGCCGTCTGTACTATAGACTCTGTGGCCTTGGTCAAGTCCAGGACTCAAGGCCTTGCAGTTTTCCTCTGCCTGCCTCTTTGTCTCTGTAACATAAACACGATATGCCCTGCGGAGACGCAGTCGCATATATATACGCCCGCAGTAAATAAATCCACGTGCTGTGTCAAAACGCACTGCCCACAGCACTATCGGCCTGACTTAATATATAATGGACAATAGTTTTTTGTATCTTTTTTTTTTGGACCGGGTAAGGCCCACCGAGCTATCTAGCTTTTTTCAGAATCGAGCTGACAACAAATGATAGCTCAACGAAGTGGCTTATCATGTGGAAATTTATAGCAGCCAAATACTCTAAATGTGGAGCGAAAACTGGAGGACCCGACTACGGGGAGAAGAGGGAAACTCCAAATATACAGGTGTCGGGGTTGGGATCGAACCCACGACCTCCTGTACACCAGGTGAGGTCGCTAATATCTCGCCACCGTGGTGCCCCTATTCCCTCCCCATGTTTACAGTGCAACAGCCCCACCATGGGAATGTGAAATATCCACCACTTGCTCGAGGCCACTAATGTTGAGTGTTTTAAATCAGCTCTCACTACTGTATGTGGATTGGGCCTGTAAGAATTCATATATCATTTGATTCCGTATGTGATTTTTCGTCTTGTTTTCAACATTTTATTCAGATTTTTTCTCATTTTTACATTACATTTGTACAGTTTTGTACGCTACATATGCTTCAATGTTATATGAGTACATCATTTGCATACATATGGCGTGATTTATGCATAATTCTAGGACACGAGAGAAAATGCATACATCATGAGCATGATAATTTTACATGGATGCATTGTTGCACGTGTAATATCAACACACTCAGATCCATTTAATGTAACGCAACAACGCAAAACCAGTTTTTATACAATATTGCTTTCAGCTTTGGGACAGTACCCCATCGTTTAGAATCGGGGGTGGGGAACCATTTTTCTGCCAAGGGCCATTTGGATATTTATAACATCATTCGCGGGCCATACAAAATTAAATAAATGTTGCTATAAAAAAGCGCCGAGATTTATTGAATTTCGAGTCGTGCGGTTGCCTTGGCAGGGCCAGACCAAATGATTTAGCGGGCCTCATACGGCCCGCGGCCCGGACGTTCCCCACCCCTGATAGGGGGAGTACTCTGGCCAATAAGATAATAACCCAGCAGCATTTGCTTAAAAGGCCAGACTGAACTGATGAAACCAAAAATTACAAAACCGCTGCAGAATTAAATTCCTTAAATTATGCTGGATTATATTGGTCTGCAAAACCCTTTCCCATTCCGATGACGTACGTGTACATCAAAAGTAAACCGGAAGAAAAAATGAAATAACTTTATCGTTATCGAGGCTCCTACGAGCTATTATAGAGTATAGTTATGCCGCTATGCTTCTCTGCAGTGAATAACAATGTCTTTAAAACAACGGCGCTACGCCTCTCAAATAAAATTTACACAACCGCTTGCACGTTCCGAAATTCAGAGGTGAAAGGGACCCACCCTGCAAACTTGACGTCTCGGAACGGGAAAGGGTCAATATGAATACAACTCATTGCTACCGCTGTCGGTATTGTCAATGCCCCCAGCAGGCAGATCTTAACCTGTGCACACTTCTCCGCACCGGCACACACACACACACCTCACGGCCCCCCTTCAGCCGCGGCGTTGCCTGTGGCCACGCGTCTAGCCGTGGGTGGGGGGTCGGGCCCCACCTGGCCACCCCGTGAAGCGGTGAGGCGCTGGAGCTGCCGGTAAATGCGGCGAGCATCATCACTCCGTTCCACAGAGTCGTCCAGGGACAGGTAGCTGTTAGGGCAACACAGAGCCGGGATGATGGGAGGGTGGCACGAAGCCCTGGGGCTGGGTGTTTCTCACAGGGGTTTTGCAATGTTCTCATGTACAGACGCTGAGCAGAACATTGAGGAGATAGATGCCGGGTTCAAGCCCTGGAAATAAGTGGCCTTTCAGGGCCCTCACTGGCCATGGTGGCGTCATGTTAACTACCTCGCCGAGTATACAGGAGGTTGTGGGTTCGATCCCGACCCTGATGTCTGCTGTATATTTGGAGTTTGCATGTTCTCCCCGTGGCCGCGTGGATTTTTCGCCAGTTTTTCGCTCCGCATTTAGAAACATACATTTAGAGCAGTGCAAGGCTAGCAGGCCACTAGCGGCCCCTGGTGGCCTTCAGTGAGGCCCCTGACATGCCGCCCCCGACAATACACAACACGTGACAACACCCCTTGCAGGCGGTGTGGCAGCCTTCACACTGATTTCTTATCGGCGAAAGTGGCCCCCCTCTGAAAATTATTGAAGAACACTGGTTTAGATTATTTGGTTGCTATAACTTTCGATATCATAAGCCACTTTGTTGAGCTATCATTTGTGGCCAGGTCGCTCAATGGGCCTTGCCTGGTAAAGAAAAAACTAGTTTACTTTTTAATTTAGGTCCTAAGGGGGGGGAAATAACCTCTAGAGCAGGGTCAAGGGATCAACATTGGGCTATGAGGCTAATGTCACAACACGCCATTGCTTTCTCTGCCACTCGCACACTAAGTAAGCCACTGGAGCTGTGCACTTTTAAATCTAGATTGGAAACTCATTTCTTCACAATAGCTTTTTTTGTGTGTTAAGCTCGCTGTCTTTCCCCCGCACCTCCGACTTAGCACAGTTGGCTACGTACGGTGCGAAAGAAGTTCAATGTACGTACCCGAGCCGGCTGCCCGTGTTGGCCTGCAGAGCCGACAGCACCTCGGTGAGGGCGGCCAGGCTGCCGAGGCCGCTCTCCTCGGCCTCCAACGCCCGTAGGCTGCGGTTCGACGCGAGGGCACGGGCGGCCAGAGACGCGCCCCGCTCGCCGAGCCGATTCTCCTCCAGCGCCAGGCGCGCCAGCCCGCAACCCGGCAGCGCCAGCACCTCGAAGAGCGGAGCCCAGTCCTCTGGAAGAACCTTTAGCGACAGTGGCAACAACTTACATTGACAACTGCTGCAGTTCGCAACATTGTAGAACCGAGCCACGCCTGGGTCGTGCCAAGACTGCCTGCCTGGCGCGGTTCGCGTGACACCTGCTTGTTTTTCCACCACAAGCCGAGCCATGCTCGGCGATGAGCGAGTCGAGACGCGCGTAGATGACGCACTGACCGCCGTGTCCTCCCTGTACAATGACTGACGACCACATGAGGCCTATGGCACTTCGCAGCGGCCCACGAATCATGTGTGTCCAACACTGAGCATCTTAGCTCCGCTAATCGGATTCAAGAGGCGAATAATTTTGATTAGGGCAACACTGCATTTTGTATTATAGCATCCTGTCACCTGTAAAGGTGAGCCTTAATTATTATTATTTTTTTTTGCTATTTGATAACGCTAAGATGTGCGCAACTGTGTTGCCTCTCCAAAGGTATTTGAAAGTAACGGCGTGTTCTGACGACATCAGCGGCATAGCCCATGTTGACCCCTTGACCCCGCTATAGAGATCCCCCCCCGTACCTCAACTAAAAACTTGTTATTTTACCAGGTAGGGCTCACTAAGCTGTATAGCTCAACGAGGTGGCTTAGCACGTGTAAATTCATAGCAGCCAAATACTCGAGGCGAATGTTCACTAAATATGCGGGTAAAAACCGAGGGACCCCGGGAAAAATCCGCGCGACCACAGGGAAAGAGACACGCAAACTTCGGGGTCGCGCTTAAGGCTCTGGATCGAAGCCACGACCTCCCTGTTTACTAGGCGAGGTAGCCAACGTCTCCTAGCCAGCGTGGGCCTGGCGGCGTGGTGCGTGCGCGTCACCCACGTCTGGGTTTCTGGAGAGGCCCAGCTCGGTGAGGGCGGTGTTGGTGCGGAGGTACGAGGCGACTTCCCCCAGCGCGACGCCCGTCAGGCAGTTCCCCCCCACGTCGAGCTCCAGCAGGCGGCCGCCCTGAAGGTGCGGGAACACAGCCGCATCGCAACGAGGCGCGGCGCGTAACGGCGACGCGGTGATTCACAGACGAAGGCCGTGTCGGAGCGACGACATGGCACCGCTCGTATTCTGGGTTCGAGTACTGGGACTGGGTGTTTTTCTTTCTGGGGACTCATGATGGCCTTGTCGGACCACCCGAGGTCTGCCGAGGGCTCTGGCTCACATGAGACAATGGTTCTGCTGCATTGGATCAGGCAAAAGACCTAAACCAGGGCTTCTGCATCGGATGGGTCAGCGTGATGCGGCAGATAGTATTTGGACGACAGCACAGCAACATTTCTCAGTTTCAAGTTAAATTAATGGAATCTACCATTCGTCTTGTTGGCATTAATGTCTCTGTTATGTCCTAGACACAGCAGGTACGCGGCAAGGAGCCTTGGCAGGCCAACGCTTTCTGCCAGGCTGGTGAGATGGAACCAGGCATCCGCTCACCAACGCGATCGCCGATGTCAGAGATTGCAGCACAGCACAGACGCCGTCATCGCACATCTGGTTCCCAAACAACCTGCAGGAAAAAAGAACGTCGTCGTCGTCATCATCATCATCACGACCACCAGGTGTTACGCAATAGCGATTTAATGCACAGAGCCCTTTACCAATCCACGGAGGCCTCCCCACACCGCACGCGAGTTCTGGGAGTTGTGTGACCCTAGGTTGGGGAGCGGTAGATTAGCGGTTCGCGCTACGAACCCGGCGACCCGAGTTCGATTCCCGCTCATGACGATTATCTGAACCGGTTCTGGGCCTCCCGTAGGTCGGCTTAGCCTAAAATGAGTACCTGGTGCGGTGTGTAAACATCGCCACTGGGGAGACAAAGGCGGTTGGGCATGGCCACGGCTGACATCAGTGGCGAGTGATACCTCAACCGGTTCGGGCACCGCCGTCCCTACTTCACCAAGCCATACTGACCGGTGTGGCCACGTACGGTCACACACAAAGAGGAAAAATTCCCCGTGTAGCTTTCAACAGACTGTTGGGGCAAGTGCTCTCAGCGAGCACCTATGAAGGCCGGCACTGCACACGAGGAGCTGGGTGGCCAGCACCACGCCCGGCCGCCTTTGCCTCCCTAGTGGCGATGTTTACGCACCGCACACCAGGTACTCATTTGAGGCTGAGTCCACCTAGGGGAGGCCCGGGACCGGTTCAGAAAACTCGTCGCCGCGCACACGCCCGCGACGCGCACGACTCCGCCACGCACAGCAGGGTCTTCAGGCGGCTCTGCGTGGCGAGCGCCGTGGCGAGCAGCCGGGCGCCGTGCGACCTCAGGACGTTGAGGTTCAGGTTGAGGGTGGAGAGGAACGATGGCGTTCGCGCGATGGCCACCGACAGCGGGGAGAAGAGCTCTCCGTCCAGACCACTCCTCCTCAGCACCAGCTCCTCCGCCTGCCCCGACACCTCCAGGAACGCGCACAGCTGCTGCACCTGGGTGTGCCAGGCAGGTAAATGTCGAAAACGTAACTGCAGTGAAATGCTTGCTATGGCGCAAGCTCTGGATTCGCGAGTTTCGCGAGTTTCGCTTGTTCGCGGGCTACTCAATGCACACTAAAATGCACACTAACTCGCCGGACTCGCAAGTGTACATGCCAGACCACCGACACCGGGTAGGTGCACACACAACTTTACATTCGAAGCTGTCTGACGAAGATTGGGCACGCCTTCTCGGCTGCCCGCTGCGTTCTGGAACAAGGTTCCTGCTGCATTCGCTGAATTCTGCATTCGCTGAATTCTGCATTCGCGAGCGTTTTCAGGAACGTAACCCCCGTGGACAGAGAGAGTTTACTGTATTTTTTATTTATTTACCAGGTAAGGCTATATCGGTATTTTTTTCAGGAGCGACCAGGCTATCACAAATGATAGCGCAACCGAGTGTCTTATCACGTGGAAATGTATGGCAGCCAGATATTTTAAACGCGTGATGTGTGATACTAAATGTGGAGGGGAGAGCACCAGAGGACCTGGAGGAAAATCCACACGGCCACGGACAAAATGTACAAACTCCAAATATACAGGTGCCAAGGTCTGGATCGAATCCACAACCTCCTGCATACCAGGCGAGGGAGATAACAGCTGGCCAACGTGGGGGTGGCGGGAGAGGGGGGGTCAGGGGTCAGGGGTCAGGAAGGAGATAGAGGTGGGGGGGGCTGCATCCCTCTTTGGCCAAATAATGGCCATGTCACAGACACTGCGTCACGTAATACTGGCAATTCCACAACTCCTGTCATTTAACAATAATATATAGTCCTTATCCATAATAAAACTTTGCATTCCACAATTCCTCCCATGATTTAACAATGATATACTTAGCGATAATAAAACTATTCATCTGCTTGGTACCACAGTCTCATCAGCGCTGTCGCAGAAAGGCTGTATCGCCAATCTGGTAAAGGAGGCATCATCAGAGGAGCTTGGTTTTCCTTTCCGTGAAAAATCCTTCGTCTTTAACTCCTAAAACTTGCTACTGCTTCATGGGAACTCCTTTGGCGGTACCAAAATATGAGAATAGGGTGTTCCCCCTTTTTTTCTGACAACAAAACAGCTGTGTTAAGATGTTACAATACCAAACTGAAACCTTGTATAAGGAAACATATCTGCATTAACCAAAATACTTGTGGTCAGAATGCAAAAATAAATACTCTGATAATATGATGCATTGTCTTTGAAACGGATTGGTCCACACCAGAGACAGCTTTCTTTTGAGCCTCGTCTCAAAACGGTACTGGCAAAGCAAGTCCCATGATGTAGCTGCTCAGCCCGAGCTCTCTGATAGTGTTTGTTGCCAGAAAAAAGGGGAAAATCTATTCTCACTTACTACTGCTGCTGTGCAAAACACTAATTGGGCCGAAGTTGGGAGACGAGCCGTATATCTGACTGGTCGTATCATCCGTACCGTGTTCATCCAACACACTGCAGGTCACAACACTCTCTCTTTCTGGGGTTCTTTACCCCCCTCGCTGCTCCGCTTTGGAATTCCTGCCCATCGTCTCTTTCCCCGAGTTCGTATGACCTTGATCAATTCAAGACACGTTTTAACTTGCTGAGGTTCAGGGTCCAAGCTGTTGGTAATGGGCCACGTCAGGACACTGAGGTGGCACTGCTGAGTTCTAATGTACAAGCCCTGTGGGTGTGCGTTTCACTTTTAATGAGGCCCACGAGGGCCTCATTTAGGCTGTTCTGGAGCCATTGGGCCAGCACCAAATGAGATCTTTAACTCGCGTTCCATGGTCGGGGGGGGGGGGGGTCTCTCTATTACCCAATTTGCACGGTGGGCTACGTATGGTGCGAAAGAAGGTCGACATACACACATACATTATAATGGTGGTCTCACTGCTGAGTGCGAGTCTGGATTCAAGCCACCCAAGGCTCATTCAGGTTCAATATTCTTTGGTTCTTTCGGTAAAGTCACCGAAAGAACCAAAGAATATTGATCCTTGCAACCACGAAAACTTCAAATCTTATTCAGGTTCTCAAGGCGAGTGAGTCAATGGTCTCAACCTGCACATACACAAAACGTCAACATATAAATTCGTTTTTTAGCTTGGCAGACGTCAGCTCTGACATTAAATATTTGGTTTGTAGTGGGACAAACTATACATCATACTGTCTCCTCACTCCCCCAGTCTCCTCACTCTCCAGTCTCCTCACTCCCCAGTCTCCTCACTCCCCCAGTCTCCTCACTCCCCCAGTCTCCTCACTCCCCCAGTCTCCTCACTCCCCAGTCTCCTCACTCCCCCAGTCTCCTCACTCCCCACAGTCTCCTCACTCCCCCCAGTCTCCTCACTCTCCAGTCTCCTCACTCTCCAGTCTCCTCACTCTCCAGTCTCCTCACTCTCCAGTCTCCTCACTTCCCCAGTCTCCTCACTCCCCCAATCTCCTCACTTCCCCAGTCTCCTCACTCCCCCAGTCTCCTCACTCCCCCAGTCTCCTCACTCCCCACAGTCTCCTCACTCCCCACAGTCTCCTCACTCCCCACAGTCTCCTCACTCCCCCCAGTCTCCTCACTCTCCAGTCTCCTCGCTCTCCAGTCTCCTCACTCTCCAGTCTCCTCACTCTCCAGTCTCCTCACTCTCCAGTCTCCTCACTCCCCCAGTCTCCTCACTCCCCAAGTCTCCTCACTCCCCACAGTCTCCTCACTCCCCAAGTCTCCTCACTCCTCACAGTCTCCTCACTCCCCCAGTCTCCTCAAGTACCTGTCTCTTCAAGCGGTCTCTCGTGGACCCCGCTCCGCCGTCCTCGCCGCTCAAAGTTTGCACCTGGAACCCGTTGCCCGCAGTGGCCGCCTCACGAGAGTCGGACCGCGCCTCCGCCGGTGAGGGCCCTGTGAAGCCGGGGCGCAACACGGTCAGAGGGAAGAGCGAGCCAAGAGGCCACGGTTGGCAGGGGTCGGGCGGAAGGAAGGGCACAACCGTTAGGGGGCGAAACAATCCCAGCCCACCAAATACTAAGGCCAGCTCTACTCCTAATTGTTAGGCATGAAAGAATGTATCTATCCGTCAGTTTGTTTCTTACGTACCATATATGTTCCATCGAACTGCACACAATTTATTATTCTACGCGTATGGGAAAAGTTACACGCCATTTTGTCTGGTAAACTGATGGTCTGACAGAATAATTGTGTATGGATGTTGAACTTCTTTCACACCATACGTAAGCCAACCGTGCTAATCATGCGTATGTATGCTGAACTTATTTCGCACTGTACGTAGCCGACCGTGCGGGAAACACAGGCGGAACCAACAAGGCAGGTGGAAGAGATTCTTTAATCGTAACCACAAAAACTGATAAATCCGTGAATTTCAGGAGTGAGGAGGGTCAGATGACCTGATGCATGTCCACTAGGACCAGAGCGACGCGTTAATGCATCCACGAAAATCAACTCTTGCAGCAAATGATTAATGCATCAAATTTCTCCCCAAGGAATCAATCAGATTTTATTATACTATTTATATCTGAATCAGAATCACAATATTTATTTATACTCGAGGAATCCGATGAGCTATGAAGTTCATATGTACATGTTATGTACGTTGAAATTTTTTTTTACACCGGAGGTGCGGGGAAGGAAAACAAACTAAAGACAAAAGGCAGTTATGCCATTTATCTAATTCTATGTTAATGTACAGACCAATATGGAACATGGGATATGGGCAAGATGACGCAGACAGAAACATTAAGTAGAATCATCAATCGAATCTTTGTGACCCTGATGCCGAATTACCTCACTACTCTATCCATAACTCTAGCCCCTTAACCCTAACCATGACAAGTTAGCTCAACAAACCATACCCTTGCTCATAGCTGTTGTCTGCTAGCCAAATTGCCTAAACTCACTTCTTATTAACTTTACCCATAGCCCTCACTAACACGAGCGCCGACCGTGCCACTATCTCCTGCATCTCACCTGGCTACCATTTTACGTTTTGTGCGCCTTTTTCATTCAGTCATCCGCTCGCCACGAACCCACCTTGAAGTCCAACCAACGTCGGGATGGAGTCTTCGGAAGCGCTTGCCGCTGGGCCCACATCGTGTCGTCTCCGAGCACCCCCCCCACCTCTGCCGTCGCTCGACATTCCAGTCCTGGACCGCTCCGTCGATGGAGCCCCGTGGATCTCGACCGACGTCGGGGTCACTCCACCGTTGACGTCGCCGGACGGAGCCTCTGCTCGCCCCGAGGTGGTGTCCGTGATTGCGAGCGCTCCTCGTGCCACGTCTGGGACATGGCCCCTGCTCGTAGATTGCAACTGCGGTCCTTCGGGGGAAGCCGGGGGAAATCGTGAGACCCCCGCGGCGGCGCCGGCTTTAAAAACAAACCCCGGCCCAGACTCTTGTGATCGGGCAGATGGCCAAGTTCCTGCAGAAGGAATTAAAACACAAACACACGTGGCAAACGACTATAACCAAATCACCCGGCATGCCCCTGGTTTTTATCAGATCTTGCAGGTGAAGCAGAGTTGAGGCTGGATAGTGCTTTGACCACCAAACACTGTGCATAAAACAGGGATTGTGGCCTGTTGCGGGACTTAATTGTGTGTGGCAAAACAGCAGTGCAGTAAAATCAGTTGTCCCATGCTCCTGTGGTCCCACGTCTACGCTCCCCATCTTCACCAAACCGCACTGACCGGCGTGGTGACGTATGGTCAAATGACCCCCCACGACCTGAACTTTTTTCGGGTGGCCTTCATCCATTGCAGGGCTGTGCCTTGACAGAAGTCAGAGGCCAAGGTGCAGCCCTGCAATTTCTTGGCCACACCACTTCGAGCGGAAGGGTCTCTACTAGAAGAGGCGCTGGACATATGTTTTTAAAGAGGTGGAAAGTAGCCAAACTTAACTCAACCACACACAACCGGCCCATCGACTAACTATGATGTATCCGTTCATACTGTTGGGTGAACAGAGGCAGAATGATTTCAGACAAACACACACTGTTTCAACTGCCACGCTGAGAGATTGAACTGGCGAGCTGTGGATTGCAACCATTACACCACAGCAGTATGGGTTAACATATGGGTATAAGAAATTACTTGATGATGACGTGCCAGCATAGCCTTTCGAAAGCTGGACAGAGTTTCTCCATCCAAACAGAATTATAATATACTGGGGGAGAATCCAATGAGCTATAAAGCTCTTTTTCACACATGTCCAGCAGAGGCGAGATAAGTCTAGCCACGGGACAACCACTGCTGACTGCCCACAAAGTGGTACTGATTTTCAATAGAATCCAGAGAAGTATAGGCTGAGCAGAGCCCCATTTGGAATTTTAAATCATGAACTAAGTGCTGTGTTATGACCACAGCGCCAGCTGGCCTGATGAGGAGACATTATCACAATGGCCAACAGTCCATGTTTCCCAGCGTTAACTCAGCCAGCATTATCTCTTGTAGTAATATACTTTGTTGGTCGACGAGAAAATGTGGAATTTTTGTCAAGTGTAAATCTGTGTATTTTTATAGTCATTCTCACAGTCTTAGTGGACTGAAATAGCCAAACATGTGGTCAACCATCTCATAACCATAACTTTACACATCTTTCAGCGGCAGCGAATCGTCTATTAGATCATTTCCAGTGAAGTTAGACGTCGTAATTTTCCCGGTGCTTTTACTTTTATGGAGATATCTCGCGTGCCTGGCATGCGTCCCGTCGTCTTCAGAACTCGAGTCGCTCGGCTCCGGGTCCGGGGACGGGGAGCACGCGGTTCGCGAAATCCCCGAGAAGCCAGACAGGACAGCGCGTGCCGGAGGCAACACGTCCACTGCGCGGAGGGTTTAGTGGGGATGTTGAGGGGTAAATGCGATTGATGGAGGGGTTAGTGAACACATGGCAAGACAATGACAAAGTTCCCCGGTAATAGTGGGGACAGACAATGGGGGAAAGTGCCGTTAGCGAGTAGCTACTATGTGGGCCGGCACGGCGCATGAGGGAGTGGGTGGCCAGAACCGCGTCCGGCCGCCTTTGTCTCCTCGATGTTTACACACCACACAAGGTACTCATTTGAGGCTGAGTCGAACTTGGGGAGGCCCAGGACCGGTTCAGATAATCGTCACAAAACTGCGCATAACAGTTGGTCAGATTATTTCAGGTAAGGCCCATTGAGCTTGTCAGCTCAATGTTTTAACGGTGGGTCGGCCACGCAGTATACTTAATAAAGAATTGCATCCTCTGTAAATGAGTCGAGACTCAGTTGAGGTTCTTTTGAGTAAATAAAGGGTTATTTGGAAGTATTTCCATTGACATAATAAAGCATTATTCGTATAATTGTCAAAAGTAATATTTAAAAAAATCCAATCGACTAAACAACCAAAAATCTATTGAAAAGTCTCCAACGAAATAAAACACCGAACGTGAATTAAATTGTGCGTTTATGAGTTGTACACGGTGGAATTTTCGTGTAACATTATTAATTACTCACCCTGCGCGGGAAACCTGCACTCCGAGTGAAGTTTATGATCGCGTGCAGAGACGGATTGCACAGTCCCATGGCCACCATCTCCATCTTTGCCCATTCTCACCGCATCACCATCGCCACTGTAACCACGGCCACGGCCTGCTGCGTCTCTATCCGCGTCATCGCCGTTTTTAAAGTCCTGAATGTCCCCAGCGAAAAACCCCACGCCTCCCTTGGCCTCTCCACACCGTCCACTAAACTTGCCGTCTCTACTCACATCACTGGAATCTTCACTGCCACCACCATCAGTGGCATCATCATCGCTGAAATCAGCAGCAGTGGCAGCAGCACCACCTGCATCACCACCCGCAGCCCTCCTCCACCTTCTGCCGAGAACTCTGCCGCCCGAGTCATCGACGTGGCCACGAGCGCTCCTCGTCATCTTCTCGCGTCTCCTGCATTTCGGTTCAAAGCCGGCGTCCGGTTCAAAGCCGGCGTCCAGGTCAACGCCGCTCTCGCCTCCGGGTCTCGCGCGCTCCCTGCGACTCGACCCCACGCCCCTGGATGACACGGGCACCTCCTCGACGCTCCTGTCCTCCTCGAAGCTTCCGTGGGGCCTCACCCGTCCCAACGCCGCGCGCCCAGCGTCCGTCACGGTCCTGCCCGCGTACAAGCAACGCCTGTCGTCGCGTCCCAGCGAGTATCGGTCGGTCCACGGGGCCAGCTCGAAGCGGCTTCTGCCGTCGGCGGTGGACGCTTTGGCGAGGCCGTCTGGCCTCCTGGAGGCGGCGCGCCTGAGGAAGGGCCGGACCCCGTGGAGGTAGGGGGACCCGTCCCTGGTGAGCGCCGGGGGGAGGTGATGAGGGAGGAGGCGCGAGGCCACGGAGTTCGTCTGGAAGGTGCAGCTCGGTTTGCCCAGACCCAGTACTGCACTGCACCTGTTTCGCAAAGAAAGAACACATTCCTGCGGAGGGGGCTGGTAGGAAATTTTGAAGTAATTATGTACGGATATTTAAGCCAAACTTGTTGGCCGACCACTACGTTTCTCCCGCAAAAAAGACGTGTGCATTGCTCGATTAGTATTAATCCCGGTTGGGCTTCCAGTCCACTACGTTTCCTACCAGTAATGCCCACTAGGAGCGCATTTGTTATATATCCGGGTGTCCGGATACACGTGGACAGACATCCACAGACATACACAATTAATCCCCTGCCTCGTGTGACTTAATCCCGGTTGGGCTTCCAGTCCACTGGAAGCCCAACCGACAGGGACCTGTATTCCCAGAAAGCAATCGCTGTTGACAAATAAAGATCAAAGTCAAAACAGAGACCGAGTGTTCCCATGAACTGACGATGGGGCAACTGGTTTTGAGCAGGTGGAATTGTTTTGCAAGAACGAGGATTCGTCTCGCCAGGAGAAAATAACCGCTATTATCTTTAAACACCAACACCGACAAAGATCTTTTCAATACATTGTTGGGGCAAGTGCTGTTAGCGAGCACCTATGAAGGCTGTCACGGCACACGAGAGGGTGGGGGGAAGGTGGCCAACCCCACGCCCGGGCCGCCTTTGTCTCCCTAGTGGCGATGATTACTACACCGCATTTGAGGCCGAGGCGACAGACCACAGGCAATGATACCCCGTGCAGCCTTTACAGACAGTTGGGGAAATCGCTGTTAGCGAGCACCTACGAAGACCAGAACGGCACACGAGGGGGTGGGTGGCCACCACCTCGCCCGGCCGCCTTTGTATTCCCAGCGGCAATGTTTATACGCACCGCACCAGGTGCTCATTTGAGGCTGAGTCGACCTAGGTGAAGTCCCAGGACCGGTTCAGAATATCGTCACTGGTGGTGTTGGTGAGCGGGAATCGAACTCGGGCCGCCAGGTTCGTAGCGCAGGCGAACAACCGCCACACCACCGCTCCAACACCACACGCGCACAGACACACAGAGAGCCAACCCCCACCCCGCCCACCCAGCCAGCCACGCACACACGGAAACAGCGAGGGGGTGGCCCGGCAGTGGGCGCGCACCGAGCGCACGGCGTTCCTCCCTCGATGCCGGCGATGTGGAAGCGTCCCCCGGGCACGGCGGCCCCACCCCGCAGGGGCAGCTCGCAGCAGCAGGAGACGCGGCCCGCCGGGAGCCCCCCAATGTGGAAGCTCAGACTCAGGGGCCGGTGGCAGCGGCGGCGGGAGCAGAACGCAAATGAGTCTGGGGAAGGGAAGGGGGGGGGGTGGGGGGGGCAACGCGATGGGAGCATCAGACACGGAGCTTTTTCTAACCGCCGTTGGCCAAGAGAGTTAATGCTCCATGGCAGTGGTTTCTCAACCTTGGTTTGGCGACTGTTAACCATACCCACCCCCCTCCCCGGTTGAATTTTTGAATTATATTTCAACCTCATAGCTGCCAACCTATGCGGTTCACTCCATATTCTTGTATCGGGACATTTCATTTGCAGGTCCATACGGCGTACAGCCCTTTCAATATGGACACAATTTTTTTTGTCTATTTGTTTGTGTTTCTCCCTTACGATGGGACTTTGTAGGATGAACGTTGAGATTTATAAGGGGCACGGGGTGACCAATAAGGTCTGAATTGGTCTGCAATAAGGTGGGCACTGATAAGGGGTTGGCAACGAAGTGCAGTGAACAAGCGATTGCAGGGCTACAGCTTTACCCCTTAATTTTGTTTGTACCATGGCACTCTCGCATGCTTGACTTGACCTCTAACTTAGACTCGACACCTATCGATCTGACCTGATGACCCTTCTCGTGCTACCCTCCCATCCGTCCGTTTGTCCTTCAGATGCACACACACCACTTGGGGCACTGCGCTCAAACGCTTGCCACAACTCCTGCCTTGCCCCTGGGGACATTCCAATTCGCATGCAAGTCTGCGGACCGTTGACCCAGAATGCAAGTGGACCCTTCGATTAGGTTGAACCGTACAACAACAATAATAATAATAATACATGTACAGTCCTTTATCAATTAGCTGGGCGGTAATGGCTGTGCACTTGGACTACAATCTAATTCAGCACTGTGGAGGCAGTGAGGATTGGCGGATCACACAAATGTTGTGAAAATTCCCTTCCACTGGGCGTCGAGGAGTTGCCGTAACCCTGGATCGCGAGAAGCCAATCCAGGCGTGTCTCGCTTAACGAGCGAAATACGTTCCGCGAAAACTTGTTAGAGGATCATTGTTTTCCCATTTACTCCGAATGTTAAAAGCTGAGCTACGTTTCAGCCACAAAATGTTGCACTCTTGAACAACTTTTTTTTACCGTGAGAAATGCAAATTATGATTTTAAAAATCAAGCAATTAAACATCAAATATTACACCACACATGAAGAACCACAATGCTCGCTCTTCCTTCCAATATTAGGAAGCCACTGTCGCTATGCACTTTTAAATATAGATTGAAAACTAATTTCTTTAGAACTGCTTTTTGTGTTTAGTTTGTTGTCCTTCCCCCGCACCTCCGATAAGCACGGCTGGCTACGTATGGTGCGAAAGAAGTTCAACAACATACATGCAAGTGCCTATCCTCATTGTCTGCAATTAATTATCTCCTCCCAACCCCTCACCCATTATCGTGCCACCATGAGGCCCCCCTCTACCCACACGTGGCCACACAGGAAAGCTTGTGAACAGCTGCGGGCCGCAGTACGAATTTGATTGATCGTTCTCCGCTCACTAAACGAACATT